ATAAGATATTGTAGAACAACATTATATCACTCACAGATGAATGAGAAAGTAAAACACTGAAATAAAATCTTGAGTAACATGCTGATGAAATATCTAGTGAGTAAGTCTATAAGATTATAAGATGAATATCTCAGTCAGACACTATTAGCTACATAAATTCAGCAGTATACAGTCTTTAAGCATTTATTATTCTATCTATTGTATGAATTGCATCTGCGCATCTCAGAGAATGTTTCAGAAAAGATGAGAGAGAAAACAGTAATTGCAGACACAGTAGAAACAACAGTTGCAGACACAATAGTTATGAACATGAAATCAAGATTGAAAGAGATCAGTCATATATGTATAAAAGCTAACAAGTTACTTCTGAATTAAGCAATTCAATCAAAAAGAATATGAGACTCACTAGTTAAGAAATCAAGTCTCAAGATAAGAATATAAGTTCTCATATATAATGAGAGTTCTGAGAAGTTTGAATCTAGATAATTTAAGCTCTATAAAATACTCAAATCACATTCTCTGAGAATATATGCATTGAAAGAATCAGAGAGATGAGTCTTATATAACTTAATAAATAATTCACATCTTATAAAGATAAAGATGCGCCTAGGAAAGGTTTTAGAAAAGATAATAGCTACTTGACTATCTTTTATAAGCTCTATAGGTGATTCTCTTTTATTCAGTGAACAAATGGAAGGTAGAAAACAGTGTTCTGCAATTGACACTGTTCTCTCAGTTGTTCATGATATTCAAATAGCAAAGCATGAGGGCCTGGTCTCAACTGCAGTTTTTATTGATATAAAAGAAGCATTTGATCATGTTTCAAAGTCAAAGTTAATTCAGACATTGAAGATATTAAAACTGCCACTTTCTCTAATAAAATGGGTTAACTGTTTTATGTCTAAAAGAAGTATACAACTCTTCTTTGATGGAATGAAACAAGACAAGACTGAGATAAAAATAGAAGTACCACAGGGATCTTCAATCTCACTCATTTTATTTGCAATATACACTGCATATCTATTCAAAAATAGAAATATGAGAATAGTGCGATCTCTGAGTTATGTGGATGATATTGGTCTAGTCTACAGCTCAAAAACTATCAAAGAGAATTTGAAAGTAATTGAAGAAGCTGCAAAGGAAATCTTTGTTAGAGCAGATATCAATCAAATTCAATTTGATATGAATAAAACTGAGTTAATTCATTTCTTTCCTAGATTCAATGAGAAAGAACTATCTCTAACTCTTTTAAATAGAGAGATTAAACCCAGTGTAAATGTCAAATGATTAGAAGTATGATTAAACTCCAAGTTGAATTTTAAATATCACATTCAACAAAGAACTGTCAAGGCAGAAAGACTATTGAATAACATAATCAGACTATCAAATACAGAGAGAGGTCTATTCTTCCAGGCTATGAGACAGTTATATATAGCCTGTATTACATCAGTAGCTGATTATGAAGTTCAAGTTTGATGAAATAATCAAGGAAATTTCACTGAACTCTTTCAAAGTCTGCAAAACAGAGTCTTGAGAAGAATTCTGAGAGCATTCAAATCATCTTCTATTAAAGCAATGAAAATTGAAGCTTTGATTCCTCCTCCTGCTATTAGATTTGAAAAGGCCTGTATGAACTATACTCTAAGAGTTGTAAAGATGAGCTCAAATCATATAATCAGAGAAAGAGTCTCTTCTTCATTTTCATCAATTAACTCTGGAAATGAACTGAATTGAAATAGATTTCTTGATTGAAATGAAAATAATTCTTCAAAGAAAATGTCTTCTCAACTGTACAGACTATGCTCTCTGATTAAAAATCAATTTTCTTCTTTAAATGTTGAAAAAGTTGATCATGAGAAGTTATCTCTCTGAAGAGAAAAGCTTGAATCTCTTATAGACTTACAAATAAGTGAACTATCAAAAGAGAAAGAATATGAACAGCATTTGAAGAGAATTTTTACAATCAATATAAAAGACTCTATTCTGATTTATTCAGATGACTCAAAAAATGAGAACTTGAATAGATTAGATGCAGGCATTGCTTATACTGAAGATAATATCAATTTTATCTCAGATTTCTGAAATCTAGGCTCTGAATGTGAAGTCTTTGATGCTGAACTATTTGCAATAGTGAAAGCTTTCAAACTCATTAAAATAAAATCTCATAAAAGAGGAAATTGTTTGAAAGAGGCATGAATATTCTCTGATAGTCAAGCTGCTTTAAAAAGACTTAGAAATAGTCAGATTCATAATGATCAAATGAATCTTGAACTGATCTTAAACTCTGTTTTGAAAATTCAAAAGAGAAGAATATCAAAGCTGATAATTCATCTGCACTGGGTTCCTGCTCATATGAATATTCATGACAATGAATTGGCTGATTCAGCTGCAAAAAAGAGTGCAGAATTAAGCAGATCTATTCAAAAAATTGTGTCCTGGTCTTTTATAAAGAGAAAAATAAAAGAATCTTGTTTAGACAAGTGAAATGAAAGCTGGCAGAAACAAAAGAAGAGTATACATTATTCAAGATTTGAAACAAAACCCAAGTGGAAATCTTGTTCAATTAAATGTAAAAAGAAAATATTCTCATCTATAATACAGCTGAAACTAGGACATGGCTATTTCAAATCTTATATACAAAGATTTGATGATAGATTTGACTCAATAGAATGCTCATTCTGCAATACAAATGAGAATTCTGAGCATATTATAATGCACTGTGCATTATACAATAGTCTCAGAGCCAGATTGAAAGAGAAGTATGATCTAAATTAATTAAATATGAGATTCTTATTCTCAACTGAGACAGGAATTAAATACTTAATAGACTTTCTATCAGAAACTCAAGCAGCTATAAGAAAATGGCTAAATTCAGAATTATCTGAATATGAAGAGAAGGAAATCAACCAGATATAGTCTGTTAAAATAGCTATATACTATCTTTTAATAATTTGTTTTATTACAGTCTTTCTTTATTTTATCTTTTTCTTTCAATTTCTTTGTGTCTATCTATTTAATGTGTCTATCTTTAAGACTGTGTTCTCTTTTCCTTTGTCATGATATTGTCAAATGGTTTCAAAGTATGAGATGATGTTAAAACACTGCAATTTATAAACAGTTTTTGTATTCTGGGCTGGAATTTTCTGATTTTGCATATCTGAAATTGATGAATGTATAATAGTTAACTTTACAGATATAGGAAAAACCTTGAGAACTAAAAGTTCTCAGGTAGATGTCATAGTCTCTGACTGCATACATCTATAATTGAAGAATAATAATAATAATAATAATAAGATAAAGATGCAAGATCTGAGCAGATTATAATTATTTACAGCACTCTTATCAGTGTTGAAGAAGAAGAAACTTATAATTGAAAAGTCTCACAAAGTAAGAGAAATCATAGACACTTATAAATTAGATAATCTCACTTATTCTAATCTTTTCACAATTATAAGAAAAGAATGAAAAGAAATGAAGAAATCAGATGAACATTATACTTTAATAAGTGATAAAACTGTAGCTAGTTATATAATAACATATCACAGACAGCAGATGCAATGCAGTAAAGAGTAGTCTTAAAGTAGTAGACTTATACATGAGTCAGATTATAGAAGAAAAAGAAATTCAGAGTTAAATTCAACTGTTTATATCAGTTTAATTATGAAGATAACAGAGAATGAAGCATCTGAAATATCTACAGATATATGAAATCAAGTCATCTTAATCTCTGAGAACACTCAAAGATTAGATGAGATTAGTTTTAATAAGCTGTTCACTGTAGTGATCTAAGCAGGTAAAGAGAGACAGTATAATATATAAGACAGAATCATAAAAGATGAAAGCTGCTGAACCTAGTCACTGAATACTGTATTATATAGAGATTATGTAAGAGTAGTGACTAGCAGATAAAGAAAAAGTGTAAGAAAAGAGAAATGAATTGATTATCAATTATAAAAGTTAGTTATAAAAGATAAATGTTATTATATACATCTCATTCATTTTCATACATTATATATTTAATCTATTTTCAATGCCACATCATCTGAAAAACATCAAAAACAAAGGAAATCTTAAAACTCAAGATCTGTAAGAAATTTAAGAGCTGCAAGCTGCTCTTATAATAACACTATATATATCTCTGATTTCTTTATCACTCTGTGTATGATATTAATATTATTTATCACAAGATTGACTGAAATGTTAATATAGAAATGTGTATGCATGCATGTAGAAAAATTGAAGAAGAGCACAGAATCTACAGAATTAGAAGTCAGAACAGAGAGAGTAAAGACAGAAGAAATAGAAGAAGAAGAAGATACAGAATCAGATGAATAACAGCAGAAGTCACTCAGAGCTGAACACTTATAACTCAGTGTATATACAATCTTTTCTGCAGAGAAGAGAGAGAAAGTGCTGAAAGAAGCTTAAGAGTGAGAGAGAGTAGTCTCAGCAGTGTTATTATCTTCAATTAAAATAATCTCTGACACTGAAGTAACTAAGAACTATTATTAGTATATAAAACTATAAAAGCAGAGAATAATAATTACTAAATAAACATCTACTAGTCTTAGAATTGTATGTGTAATTACAACACACATGAGACTTCTCAGAAAGAGAGAGAGAAACACAGAGAAATACAGAAAGCAGAATACAGTATATAAACAGCTTATTTTCATGATAATATCTCAGATAAGATATACAAGTCTCATATCTGTAAGTGTAAAAGTGTACAATATCTGCATTTTTATTTCTGAAAATATAAATATTCTTCACTTGTATTATGAAGTCAGATAATAAATATCAGAGAATAGACTAATATAGATCTATCATTTTAAAGAAATTCATCAGAGTGAATATATCTGTAATATTAAACTTTACAGTTATAAATAGTTTCTTAATATCTATGAATACTATGACTTTATATATAATAAAACTTATAATAATTTCTTCTAAGAATAGAAAAATCAGTGTTAGAAAGAAAAGATGAAAAAGAAAAAGACTTATAATCTTAATACTGTTAAAAGAGAGAGTGATTCTCTGATATAAATAAATAATTATCTTATTATAAATATTTAAAATAAATGTAATAATTAATATCTGTGACTGAGCTTTAAATAGTTATATTATACACTGTCTTTATATAATAAATCATTCTAGAGATCAGTAAGAAGAGTGAGAGTATATACACTGAGAAATATAATTCATCAAGTCTATGCAACATCTTCTTAAAACAGAAGGAGCTAGTAATAAAGACAGTGATGAAAGCAGAAGTAGTAGAAGTAGAGATTATAAAAACAGAGATAATGAGAGTGAGAGAACCAGACACAGAAACAAGTGTAGAAGATTGAGAAGAAGTGATAGAGAAAGAAATAGAGAAGAGAGTAGCAGAGAAAGAAATAGTAGAAGAGATAGAGAGAGATATAAGAGACTTAGTTATATATAACACAGATAATTTCTTTATTATCATATTCTTCAAGTTCTCAATCAATGATTTAATATTGAGATGTTTACTATTATCTACAGATGCAGATCTGTCAATGTATGAAGATTCTATATAAATTAAAATAAATCAGTATCTGTGTTAATATAAAACACAATCAGATACCTGCTGAGAAAAGAAGATCAAGAGTGTATAAGAAGATGAAGAAAATATGTTATTTATAATAGTATATTCTGATAATTATTAGAAGATAAACAAGTTCTGATTACATTTTATAATATATTACACTTACTGCTAATGAACTGTCTGATATGAGTACTACAATAATACTTGTTATGAGAATAAGAGACTATTATTAGAAACATATATAATATAATAGATAAACAGATAGAAAGTGTTAAATAGAAGAAGAAGTAGAAATCTTGAATAAGATGATAGTATTTAATAATGATGATGATGAAGAAGATAATTGAAGAATGAAAAAAGTTAGTGAATAAGTAATGTAATATAGTTAAAGTTTCTTTATAAGAGTGTATACAGAACACTAGCTAAATCAGAGATAGATTATATAATTATAAACACTAGTGACATGCTAATCTATATGAAGCTAGAATGTATATTATAATCATGTAAGTATGACTGAATCTGATGAGAGAAAATGTGATTCAGAAGAATATACAACTATCAGATAATAACACAGCTGCTTCTGAACATACTTCTGAACATACTTATAAATGTAAAGAGACTCTAACAGTCACTAATTAATTTAGATAATGTATATAAGAAGCTGATGTATGTCTGTAATTATATACTGACTTAAGTAATCTTTGAATTACAAATCAGAGCTTTTGATAAAAATCTATATAGTGTAATAATCAGTAATTAAGAATCAGAGCTTTTAACAGAAATCTATAAAATGTAATAAAATAATCTATTAATCAGATATAGTCTGCTACAAGTAGTCATTTATTATAGTTACAGTTAAAAAATTATTATTATTTTAAGTATTAGTAATAATATAGCTATTATAAGAAAATTCTTTCATTTCAGAATAAATATAAATAAAATTTAGATTATAATTACAAGCTATCAGAATATTCTGTAATATTTATTCTTTTTAATTTCACTATAATAACTACTCTCTTACTGAAACTGTAATTAATAAATAAGTATTATTTAGAGCTTTAATACAATCTTTGAAAAATAATCACTGTTTAAGATTATTATATAGAGCTTCTCTACTATATTTTATTTAATAGATAGATAGATAAATAGTATAGTTATATAGTTTATATAATATTTTAAAAACTTCATGAAATATTTTATATATAAAATAGTAAGTATTATATATATCTTCTATAAGTAATCTATACTTACTTTAATATTATACTTATGAAATGATGAAATATTTCTGCAGTATTTCTATATATTAGTCTCTAAGTTATTATATATAAAAAGATTAATAGCTTCTACTTAATTTGAATAATAAGTGAATTTATCAGTTCTTTTATACTTGTATAGTTCTGTAGCTAATTAATAAGCTTTAAGAAGATGTCAGATTTCATCTATATTATATTTTTAAGTTATTATTTATAAGAATTGAGAAGATTAGTAATAAGATTTATTTTATAAAAAGAGTCTGTATATATAAATCAGTAGACTGACTGCTGAGATTATAAATTTCACATTTAATCTCATTTGATCTGATCTCATACATTTCTTGACATGAATCTCACTGAGACTAGCTATTAAAAAAACATGCAAAGTGACTATATATCAGATCTTAAAATGAAATCATGACTTGAAAAAAATGAGAAAGTGATCTCATTTAATCTCATTTAGTCTCATTCTTGACATAAAGTTACTATTTTTAGACATTTTAAGGTTTTTTTTAGACTATTTTTAATTTTTTAAAAAGTAACACTTTTTGATAACACTCAAATAAGATTTAAAGTCATTTAAAGCAATAAAAATAATTTAAATTGAGAAGTGAAAATTATGATCTCATTTGAAAAATGTAACAAGAGTAGACAGTAAGTCTCACTGAGACAGTATGAGACTACTATCTAATGTTAAAACTGTGTAATGAAATCAGTTGAATTGATAATGAGACTATCAAAAAATCTGATTCTGATCTCAGACACGGTCACACGGTCAGTCTATAAATCAGATCTTAAAAGATATTAAAAGCATGTTTATTCTGAGAAACAGAATACATAGTAATTTAAGTGACTAATTAATAGTATTAATATAGCAGTATTTCTCTTAATTATTCATTCTTATATTCATCATTGAAGTTCTTCATGATGTCAATTATCATATCTCTGACAGTTTTCAACAAGAAGATATATATATATATATATATAATGATAAGAAGGAATCCGGCCTGCCTCACTTATCAGAGATAAAACCATGTCTGCAAAACACCTGAGTGCTGGCAGACAGTGACAGCTTTACACAATCTTACATCATACTCACCTTGCCTATTTGAGTTACAACTATTCACTATTTGATCTAATTACACTATTGAACTCTAATCACAGGTAAGTGGAGATTATAATGATGGCAGACTGAATGCAAGGCCTTTTTCAGGTAGATAATTTCAATACCGCGGGTAACTAGGGTCTGTTAAGTGGACCTTTTTAACAGAGGTTAACAGAGGACCGTGCAACCGAACACGCCCTTAGTAGGTGGTTCGTATGAACAAGTGAATAGATTACATAAATTACACTAAAACATCCCACCACACGCTAAAAAATACGCTAATTGTCGCCTCGTTCCCAGGATACATGTGATTTATCGTGATGTTGATTCAAATGGAGTCGTTTATTCCAAACCACAGTATTCCATTACTATTCAATTGACAGCTTACGTTCATCGTATCGTATCCAGTTGACCTCCGTTCGAAAGCCCCGAGCGCGCACCTCCTGCCATCCCCGCGCGAACGCGCCTATCTCAACATGTCTATCCCTCCAGAAGCTCTCCAAAAGGTGAGCCCATACCCCCTCGTCTTCAGTCCTCGCAGTTCCGCATATTTATAGAAGAATTATTACCACTCTAACATTCTATGCGCTTCCTGAAAACCATATAGCTCGTGCAAGAAATTGAATCGCGGGCCATCGCCGCACAGCAACAGATCAACATCGTCAAATCACAAATTACGGGGAAACAGCGTGAATTGCGCTTGTTAGAACTCACATCGAGCGAAATTAGCCAATTACCCAAGGAGACAAATATATATGAAGGGGTTGGGAAAATGTATGGCGTGCTCTTGGCTTGAGTGCTTTGTCCCCTGCTATGCAGTCTCTTAGCAGACTTGATGTAAGAAAGCAATCATGACTTACAAGATCTTTCTTTCTTTCCCTTGGGACATTTTCTAGGTTTGTCGCAAACCCCATTACGAACGTGAACAAACGGTTATCGACGGAGAAAGGCGACCTGAAAACCGATATATCCAATCTCGAAAAGAAACTGCATTACCTGGAAACAACGCATAAAAATAGCATGCAACATATGGACCAGATATTCAAGACTGGCGGCAAGGCATGATTATGATGATTGACGAAGATGATGTGAAAAATGGAATTTAAGATCTGAGAAATATACCGTGCTTGTTAAATTTATATGCCCGGGAAATTTTCCCAGTTGGGGAATGAAGTTCGCCGTGTTGGATGGGATGCAGCCGGGCGTTTAATAATGCCATTTAGAATCGCTACCCAGTTCAGATGAGCGCCGATGCGAAGGGTCTTGTCGCTGTCTTGCATAACCCCCGAGCAAGGCAAGCGTGGATGCGGAGAAACGCCCAGCGCAGATCGACCGGATGGATGTATGCACTGTTGTTCTTCTGGCCAGCTCGAGACTCTGAGTTGCCCTGTTGGTTCAAACCGTTGTGGCGTTACGATCAGAAACCCATGCGGCTTGCGGTATGGAGGTTCTACGTACAGATATGTTATGGAGAAGATCACCAAGCTTAATTACAATTGGAGCTGCCCGCAGGCAGATGTCTACCTTACGTGTTTGATATGATCTTTATATCATTAAAATGCTATTGTTATAACAACCACATTTGCTATCTCTCTAACCAGATCGGGAGATATAGCTTGATACATTGCAAATATTTCCCCTCCCCCACCTCTCCTCCTAAAATCTCCTCAATATGAAGTCAAATCTGGTTCATTGATCCAACCTGTCTAATTACCAGAAAGGGTCAGATAGATACTTACACCAGGGGATGTCATCACATTGTTGGGCCGGGTGTTTACGCAGACCTGGTTGTTGTACCAGTGTCAAACACAGCATGTATGCGCGGCTGTAACGTTCTACAGGCATTTTTCCTTTTTCTTTTCTTTGTTGCCACATCCGCATCATCAGCATTACTTATTTCAGTATTTGCATGCATTTTTATGCCATGTCAGGCACTTTGTCTCAGGGAGGCTCCCGCAATAGCCATGCTGAAGTATAGTCAGGGCCTGAGCTGGACAAATCGTAAGGCCGCGCAGGGTGTAGGTACTAGGTACTATCAATGTTGTATCTCGCAATCTCTTCGGGCAACATATGTATAATACACAGGCTCTAAAGATAAAAGAAGTGGAAGTTTGGGCTGTAGATTTCGTCAGCATACCCTTAAACGTCTCCAAGGCTCTCGCTGAATGGACAGGGACTTCCGTATTAGAGCATATCATAGTGGTGATGTATATTCTTAGGAATCTAGGAATCATGTTAATGATACGAATTTAAGAAAAAAAAAAAAAAGAAGAGAATGCGTAATTAAGCTTTGCCTCTCATAGGCAACAGGCAGGCAACTAAATGAGTAATTGACAAAGACACGACGATATGAACTGCCCAGACACTTCATCGAACATAACTTGGAAAGCAGTCATCTGCATATCTGCCCAACTGGGATGTCGTGAGCTAGACTGGTGTTGACTACGTTAACAGCCCAGTTACCAATGTCCACTGGCGAGGGTGCAGTTACAGCGTAAGGAAGGGTCTTCAAATCAATCTGTTTAGTTAAATGAGGGCGGGCTGTATTTGTTGTTAACTAACAGACCGAAACCCTGGACACAATGCAAAGAGGGTAAATGGAGAGACCCAATTGAAGAATGATGAATATGCGGAATGCAAACTCAACGGCGGTAACTAACCACAACAAAAACCTGTCGCCATCTTCAGAATTCCAAGCAACCATCTATAGGTAACATTTGCATGATTCCCGACCCGCTTTCTTGCCATGAAAATGCCCAAAACGCCCACGGCCAGCAGGGCAAGTCTGCACAGAAAGAGCCCGCCATCTACTGGCTGCCTGAGCTCCATTTTATTTAACCTTGATTGGCAATTAATGAGGGCGGATTCCTGCGCAGAGTCAGCCTTGCCAGGGTTTTTAACATTTGTTTGTGGGGGGAATGGCTTGCCCTCTCCTCTCCATGCGACACAGGACACCAGATCTCAAGCAAGATACATACATGAACAAGATGATATGAAGTTTTTTTTTGTCATTCGTGGCTCTTCCCACCACCACCACCACCAGGCAGCCTCAACCGCCCAGTTGGTGCCTGGAAGATTCAGGCAAACTCGCCCAATCTGGTGGATGCATTTGGGCGGCGGGGACAGACTGGAGGAGCTCTGATTTGCGCCATCCCGTTTAACATTTTCACGGCCAATTATAACGCTCGGGCAAACTGATTTGGCAACGTTGAGGCTGAGAAGACAAGTCAACCGCTCCACCAAGGATCAAGTTGACGGCGTTATTTTTCCTTTCTGGGCTTCTTCTGGCCCCCAAAATCTGCGGGCGGACCCCGCTAAGCCCTAATCCTTGGACAGTGCCGCTCTTCAAGCAGGGCCCGAAGTGCACAAGCAACTTCTGTCCAAAGATGGAGCGAACGTGATACCCTCGAAAGCCTACCGGTTCTGTTCAGCAAATCAGCTGCTGAATTGGCCTGGCTGCGAAGAAAAATGGCCAAATCCTCCCTCACCGACACGAATTAATAATCCTCCTCGCTATTCTATCTACAAGATTTCTTTCAACCATTCTTCTGCCCGTAGTTGGGCTTCTGGAATTGTGTGACCTATTTGAAGGCACACATTTAATTTAACTACTATATACCCGATCGCTGGCTCTTTAACGGTCACTGTCACGAATCACAAACCGCCGTTCATTTGTCGAGCTTCCGTTTTGACACACGCATCCCAACCCCTCAGCAAACTTCTCAGGTTCATTCATCCCTCTAAGCTCCATAAAAGCTAGCATTCTCCCAAGCGACTGACTGAGATAAAATAAGCGCCTGCTCGCCTGCTCCGACTCCAGTTTCTCTCCATCAAGTTCTCTGTCCAACGGCCATCCTGTCTATGCCCCCTTACGAAGAGGGCCATTACCCCACTTTCCAACAGGAGAGTTTAGTTTTCCTCCACGTTTTTGCTCATCCAAGAAGACCCAAACCAGCTTTGAGCTTTATCCCGGCTACCGTTTAACCTTTCCACCTGGAGTTGAGCCTGCTTGTCAATATTTACATTTTTGACCCTATACTGAACCTTGGAGGAAGAGAAGTAGCTACAGAGAGGAGTAGTCACTTGACCTTCTATCAGAGGATTGCACCCCAGACCAAGCGGGGACTTCCAAATATGGCACCGCCTCATATTATCTTCGGTGGTGGTGGCTACTCTTCCTCGGACGAGGACTCATTTGTGATTCGAGCACGCCCCAGAGTTCGCCAGCATTCTCGTCCGCGAGAAGTTAGAGTAGATAACTTGGAGGTTCCCAGACGTGGACGTACTCGTGCTTCGTCAGTAGGCCCCCAGGGTAGAGATGGCAACATTTTCATCGTTAACGAAGCTCGCTCCCCGAGTCGCGAACGCTCCCACTCTCACGTTCGTGCGAGGCCAAGACTATACGCCGAAGATGGTGCCCTGGTAGACTTGGACGAACAGATGGAGCAACTGCGACGCCACCGGCGGCCCCGCTCCCGTTCTGCCCATTCCCCGCACCTGGATATCGAAGAGCACGTCCGGCTGGAGAGGCTAAAAATCTTGGAAAGACGTGAAGAAGCCTTGCTGGAAGAGCGCAATAGAAAATTAGACGAACAAATCCAAGATTTACAGAAGGAGCGAGAAAAACGAATTCGCGAGAGAGAGCGGGAATTGGAGCGCGAAAGGGAGCGCGAAAGAGAACGCGACAGGGACCGTAATAGAGAACGCGACAGAGACCGTGACAGGGATCGTGACAGAGACCGTGATAGAGACCGTGATAGAGACCGTGGCAGGGATCGGTCAAGTCGCGACAAGGACCGTAGCTTGTCTCGCCGGGATATCGAATACGAATTACAAATAGAAAAACTACTGCAGATGCAGCATGACTTGGAAGCCCAGAGATACATCGACGATCAAGTCCTTGTGAGACGCGCACAGGCTAAGGAAGAGGAAGAAGCAGAAAAAGAGCAAGAACAACGAATCCGTGAGAAGATAGAGGCTGAGCGAGCCAAGCAGGAAGCCGAGGAGGCCGAGCGGAGAGCGTACGAAGCTAAACTAAAAAGGCAAGCAATCGATGAATACAACAGAGTGGAAGCAGAAAAGAAGCAGAGGGAAAAGAAGGAGAAAGAAAAGGCAGACAAGGAGTTTGAAGATCGTGCTAGGGCGACGCTCGCAAAATCCGGTTATACTGATGAGCAAATCACTGCAATACTCAAGGGAGAGAAGGAGAAACCGAAAGCTATTGCTCAAGCACCTGTAAAGCCAACTTTTATCAAGGTACGTTATCCCTTCGCTCCCATTTCTTCTACTCGTTTTATATTTCTCCAAGGGTATTTCTGCTCACAATTTTCTTCAGGTCTCCAGCCAACACATATCACCCGATACACTAGATGCTTATCACATACCATGGGAATGGGATGACGTGAGTATTCCCATCTATTGATTAAATTGATCTTCTAACTATCCGATTCCCACTTGTCAAATTTATTCACTCTGCCTCAAAAGGGAAATTATCTTACATTTTGTTCCCTGCATAAATAAATGGCTAGCGGCTAACATTTCTCTTTTCAAAACAACCACAGCGTGACAGGGAATTCATTCTTATCAAACGCTGGATTACAGACGATGAGCAGGAAGAACTCTTCGAACACACTAAAATGCTACGACAAGGGCAAAGACTTCTGATTGCCCCTGCTCCTTCCCCACAGCCACCAGTTGGTGTCAGAGTTCGAGATCGTGATGAGATGTTTTTGGTTCGAACGAGGAAGAAGTCGCCCCGGCGACAGAGTGGTTGGGGATTGTGGTAAAAAAATCTTCTCCATCTGATTTCTTCTGTCATGCGGTCTCAAGTAGTTTCTCATGTCTATTTAACTTGATGTCTATCTGCGCTTTCATGTTTACAGGCCTAGCAGACGTGTGTATCTTGATTCCTATTATCTCCCGTCCCCCAATAGCGCCCCCGACCCTCAAACCTTTTGCCACCCTGCTGGTCTCCAACCTCTTCCTTTCTTGCTTTGATTTGCTATGGTGTTTTGATGCTTAGTGTCTAATTTCTTTGATAAATTCTTTGTCATTTACCCGCACACGTAGAGTGTACTCTCTACTTTTGTTTGTTCTCTTTTCTTTCTGATTTCAGTTGCAATTTTGTTATTTCGCTCTTAAATACCTCTACAGATGTGTAACGAAGAAATGCCTTTTTTCCCTAGAATTTATCAAGCGGCGCAGCATGGTGTCACGAGGCCCTGAGTTGTAAAATGTAAACCAGTTTTATCTTGTCAACCCCAACCCCTTGGTGCATTCCCCGCACTTATTTGTCTCTGCAGCGGCCAGCTAACGGACAAATAATTACTTCCGTTTCCTTCACTCTTCCGGAAAGTGCTACATTCAGAACTCATTAAACCTTAGAGAGCAGGAAATGCATTAGCAATTAGATCTTCCTCAATCCCTAATATCTAAATATTTTTTTTTGAATGCTATAGATCTGTAAAGAACCAAGATACCTGAAAAGCCAAGCGGAGTGATACATTCGAATTCGCATTCCTCACAATGCCGCCCCCGCTTACCATCGTATTTAACTTCGTCTGTCTGGCAACCATTCAACTTGCAAGTTCATGCTTCTATTGCTACTCCGCCCTTTGATCAACCTTGGGGTGAGATATTTATAGTTCCACTAGGGCCACGTTAAATCCCGTGATCCTGAGAAACAACCTTCCTTGGAAGCACACCAACATCAACCTCACCTTTTCTACCGATGGACTAACAATTACCACTCACTTTTCTCTCAGACTTCCACACCGGCCATACCAAGGAATGCCATTTGCCAATGGCCGGACTGGGTTTCCCCTGTACTGTATACCCTGAGAAGCACTCTTCGTACACGCCCCCAACTTCAACATGAGCAACTTCTCCGTCCACAAAGAGCCTAACGAGCGGCCAAAGACTTTGGTTGCATTATCCTTGAATTTGTTTACCTAGATTTGCTTGAAACTACGTTTCAAATGTATATTTTGGCCCCATTTGACTGTTACTTGCTGACAGTCGTTATGGTTGGACTAGTCTGCTGGAGCGGTGATTTTCTTTCGTTCTTTTCTTTCTATCTTTTGTGGTAGCAAGGCTATCAGGATGCCCTGCACGGCTTCAGTTATCCAACCCTCCGATATCTACCCATGATGCAGATCAGCACTATGTTTCAAAGAGAGACATCACAGGCTAATGCGTAGCTCAAACGGAAGAATGCAAATCCCTTCCTCAGTTGGTTTCCTCTGAGGGCTAATTGCGACCCTTTTTTCGGATGCCCACGATATTACTCGCTTTGTCGGGAATTCCCGAGTACCCTATGCCATGATGCGCGTGTTGTATCGTGGGCCAGGTTCTGATCGCCGCTCTGGCTGTCCCTAGATGAATCTGTGCCGCTTTCGGTGCGGCGCCTGCGCATCATCGGGTATGTCAGCATGCCTCTTCTTCACGTCTTGAAACATGATTGCCTTGGCTTCAATTTGGCCGAATCGTAATGTCTAGGGGAAAGCACTCCATGTTGGCGTTTCATATGTCCCTGAATGGCTCATTTCCTCCAGAGATTTGCTCCATTCCAGCACTACATACTGTTATGAAGATGCTGAAAATGCATACCAAATAGCACTGGTACGCTCAACACGTCAATGAAGAAAGCTATTAACCGGCAAAAACATAATCACGCGCTCCATCCAGAACTATGATTTGTCTATGAACTATCCATCAGGGCCAACATTGAATGCTTCTCTTACACGACACAATATCCCTGTAGATGCTGGCAACTACCGTTTGACCACCATCAAGTGGGAAGCATAATTTATTAACTAAACAACATGTACGCAGATTCAAACATCGCATTCCAGGCAGATGGGTATTGACTGATTGGAATGGAAATCACATATTACTACAAGTCGGAGCCGCAAACGTCACCCAGAGATCCAAATAAATCTCACTCACATTCTATTAGCTCAAGCCCCATCACAGGGTCTACAACGCGATAGCTTCAAGGAAATAAAGTCTCCATTGGCCCCCCAGGGGCTAGGCCAATGCTGGCCAATGCTCACCGTTCCTTGCGGCAGGCCTTGTAGAGAATCCTTTGCTACCCATATGCTAAGCGGTACTAACTGTCTTGAAGCAATCCCACATCTTGAAAAAAAAATAAAAAAATAATGCCGCTTCGGGACATTTATCATAAGCTAAGTTCCCTCTATTCACTATCTGAAATCACCTATTAGAGCAACGGCCCCACTTCGCCTAAACTTCCGACACCCCTTATCTTTCTCTCGCGGATGTCAAACCCCCTGCATAAGCGCTTTTGAAGATGTTGGCACGGAAAAATGCGCTGATGGAACTATAGCTACTACAGGCGGTTAGCGAAAAAATCTCTATTCCCTGTTCGTTTGTCCAACGTTGGTCAAGGTTGTTAGATTCTACTCGACGGTGGAATCGGCGTGGGTGGGACGATTGATGTGCATCGTTTGAATTTACAAGATTGTCACAAGTGTGTCGTTTTCAATTTCAATGTAGATATCGGCTTGCCCCTCCGCTAGTGTTGGCTCTTGGGTTACGTTCGACTTCATTCAAATCAAATATTTCTAGGGCACCCTTGGACATATGCAGATTCCAACTAGAACGCCAAATTCTAGTCTTCCGGACGAATAAAATGTGATGAAATAAATATTATTAACTGACGGAGCACATGAAGGCAGGCGAAATAAACCCTACCCTTTACCTTGACCACTCTCGACAGCTACCCAGAAAGCACTGCCACGCTTGCCGAAAATCTGCGCCCCCGCGATTAACTGACCATGCCATGTCTAGTTCCTTGACCAAATATTTCGCTTCTGAAGGAAACTTGCACTAGAATGCCTTCAAGGATAAACTATTTCAATTTATGCCCATTTATTGTACGCAGTGCTGTGAGGTTCTGATAGTTGATGGTCGTACGTTCCGCACCATCTGTGTCAGAACATCGATGTCAGAACCGGTTGAATCATCAGGCGAAGGGCCGAGCAAGGCTTAAGAAGGGGGGCATCCATGGAAGACTGGGGTTGGGGTCATTGAATCACTCGGACAATCTATTTAGGTAACAAGTTATGCAGACAGCAGCTAATTTGTACATGGGTGTTACAATTTTAGAACACTTAGCCTCCATGATTGCTGGTGTTTCTGGCGGCTTTTGGGGGTAGGCAGGTTGGTTTCAAGAGCAGCTGCAGAAACAGGTAGCGGATGCTGGGCGCTTTTCCGGAGTTCCTGCAAGCAGTTGGGCCCGCTATTGGCCAATGCGTCTGGGGGATTCCTAACTAAAACGGCAGCTACCCTTAACTAAGTTTAGGGGACCTGCAGGCGCCCAACCGCTATCAACCATTCAACCGCTTACCCTACGCAAATGGTTGGATGTCTGCGGCAAACAGCGCCTTGGGTTGCTATAGGATTCTAACCATTACGTTCCGAACTACTACAGCCACTAGATGGAACTACCAAGCGACGACCAGGATGACAGCCACCCTTACACCCACTTTTCTCTTCTTGAGGGGCAGCATTAGTTCTATGAGTGGAGCTGTGCGGTGGAAATGTACTACAAATGCCGCGGGGAAACCACCCTGATGTCTTTTATTTCAGATCCAAAATCAAAACACTCAGTTGGATTTGCTCCTTTGGAGGTCAATGCTCATTCAACCTTCCAACATGAACCCATCACCAATTCACCGAAATAGAGTTGGCAAGAAGAGGACGTCTTGCGACAGATGCCATACTTTAAAAAGCAAGTGCACAAGAACACCAGGCTCAGAACGCTGCAATCGATGCGAGCGCATTGGGATACGTTGTGTATTCAGTGCGACAATGAAGTTGGGAAGACCAAAATCACTTCAAGTTTTCCAACCACCTCCTAATCAATTCGACAAAGCTATAGAACAACAGAGCTTGACTCCCCGGGATATCCACCATGCAGAAGTATGTATGTGCAGAGAGCCTCATGCAGCGTGCGCGTCTTCGTCAGGTAAATAGCACCCTTCATTCATTTCATTCCTTGATTGCGTGGAACTCGAGTAGCTGACTCTATCCAGGAATCAGCACAGCACCCCTAAGCGCTCCCACAGCTATGCGAGAACAATGGCCCGGTATGTGGATCATACGTTCATGGAGAAAGATAGGGTCGAGTCATGAACTAACAACAGAGCAGGGCATAACATGACACCTCCTGGGAGTCCGTCGCTGCCGTTGCATATTGCGTCACAACTCCATGGGGGAGATTCTGCAATTTACGAACTGCAAGCGCCCTTCAATTACGACGAACCGAGTGTATCCATTGCGCCTGCTGTGGAAACCACCTTACATCCAGCAGAAATCGATTTCGCATGGCTTTTAGATTCCTCGGGACCAAAGGCTCTTACAGGGCAAATTCCCCAAGACGCCAGTCATATGGGTTTCGACAGTACATCTTTGTCTTCCTCCCCCGCTCCGAATTCGGCACCTGGTTTCTCGGAGGCTTTCACTTCACCTAGTGATTGCAGCTATACGGGGGATATGAACTCGCCGATGTACAAGCTTTCAAAGCTTCATCTGGAACTAGATAATCTCCTCAGCTTATCGATCAACTGCGATGGCACGGTACATCCCAATGATCTCATGTCCTCCCCCAGCAGCCCTTTCTCCGCGGCTATCGCCATCCCTACCACCCCAACCACTCCAACCACTGCAATCGACGAGATTTTCCTGTTAAGCGAAACCCTCATCAAAATAGTGCAAGAGTTATACCAAGAGGCGACTACGACAATGTGCCAACCCCTTAGCATCTACCCTTTCACGCCTCAGTCCTCACCTTTGCGGCGGAGAGGCTCGTCCAATTCACAAGATAGCTACAAGAGCGGACGGCAACAAGAGCCTGCAACCATCCTCCTTACACTTACCTGTTACCTTCGCCTGCTGGGCATCTACGAAACACTCGTGGTTCCTCTTTACCAATATTTTCAACAACATCGTCCGCAATTTAAAGCTCACCCAAATTCCTCATTTCCTTTGCCATTGCCTCTACCCATCCCATCTCTCCCAACATTTAAGCTAGGCCGATACGGGCTTACTGCCACATCTAGCATGAACCTAGGGCTCCTTCTCCATCTGCTTTTACGAACCCTCGAGTGCTTACATAGCACTGTTAGCCTATACCTTTCCACAACCTCCCCCAGTCCCCACAGTCGCTGGGCATATGACGGGAATGCCCCTCCTTCCTCTACCAAATCGCCAACCTCAGCGTCAGATTGTGCGGAGTCTGGATTCATATCACCAATGAGAGACAATGGACAGCACGATGACTTTAGTGCGTCACTAGGCATACGCGACCATGTAACGCTACTTACTGAGTCTGCGTTAAGCGAGGCGGGTAGACGTGAGAAATATTTGACAGGCCTTTTGCATTCAGTGATGGAAACTTTGCCGGCTATAAAATAGTTGTTTCCTTAATTTTACACATTTTTAATTTCGTTGCACATTGTTATAGGTATGGTTAGTATTACTGAGTTTAGAAGCGTACTAATTGTTAATATTTTAATTCGTCCTATTCTGATTTTACATGGGGTAGTTAATTGTTATGTTTCCATGAATCTTCTTTGTGCCGATCAGGGAGGGATTCTATGTGGGACGCAATCACTTCTGATAACACTTTGTTCATTTTGCTTGGGCCTGTGTATACATGGCGAGGGATCTTAATCATAATAATATTAATTTACATCATTTCAAAACCGCCAGCTTGAATGCATAATCCGTGCCTTTTTCCCAACCATATGATACAGTGAATTTGTAGAACATCGCGAGAATAACCGCCCAAAAGACCTTCCTTTTTCCCAAAACCTTGCTTTCAAAAGGTAGTACGGGATCATAAGGGTATATGCCAAAAAAATGCTCGATGCACAGGAAACGCAATATATTCAAACGAATTATATTACCAGTAAATGGCGTGAAATCGCTGATGTTGTAGAACGAGAAGCAATAAATAGGCCGATCATGACGCTAATTGCTCGACGTTATCTGGATCCGGCCACCTCTTCTCTGCTTTTAGAATCAGTTCTTCATACACAGTCCATGCAAGTGCGGAACTGACTGCTTTGCGGCCCATGCGCAAACCCAACCCTCCGAACAGGCTCCGCACCCCGTCCTCACGGAGCATTAGCCGCACGGCATGTACCATATTGCGATACTTGTTTGGCATAAGCTGCAATCGTGTCTTTACCACGTCGAACGGGTTGGTGATAGCTGTCGCCAAGCTGGCAGCCAGTGCACTGGAGACAAAATTCACCGATATAGATGAGGGAACAGGCTGCGATTTGGAGATATCCTTGCCAGTCGGCTCTCCAGAGGTGGACGGGGTGGTTGTCGTCGACGCACCAAAGCCAAGGGAATCAAGAGTCTTCTTCAATTGCTCATAAAACACAACGTACAGACCGGCATACGGCGCATCGCGGATAGCGGTCGCGCCAAAGCCGTAAAATAAACCCCGGAACCCCTCTGAACGCACAATATCCCGCCCGGCTCCCCAAACGCTGCGATAGGCGTAATAGTCCGACTCATAGCGTACTTTTATGACGGTGACAGGCATCATGACGAACCCTGCCGCCGTTCTCGCAATGGCCCCGGTGACGAGGTTTGCTGTGTGGGAGAGCTTCGGAAGCGCGGATGTGCGTGTGGACTTGGCATCTCGGTCGCCGTTGAGTAGGACGATTGGCCCCCGGTTTGCTACCCCTTGCCTTAACGCATTTAAGCTAGAAAAGTAAAGAGCGGACCCAAATCCCGTTCGAAGTGCTGAGGGTAGTGTCCCTCGCCAGAGGCCGCGGATTGGTTGGGGCGATGCAAGGATTTTGCGAACGGTGGAGAGGAGGGAAGATGTTTGGCGGGCTTGTTGGATTCTAGTCTTCAGGAGGTCTGCGGGTTGGAGGAGAACGGCAGAAGAGAGCCCCGAGGCCAGGCCAGCAACGAAGTGGAATGTTGGCTTCGAGGCTAAATGGCCGGTCAGCAAGAGTTTCAGATAGGAGGGGCCAGGTTTAATAATTTGGGGGCGCTGCGGAAAGCCATACAAGTCGAAGTCTTTAGCTGGGCACCATTGGTGGAGCCATCAGACATATCTGCTGCACTCTGTGAGCAGAAGGCAAGCCAGATAAGACCAAAAGGAAGTGTCGCTTGGCCACTAGAAGAACCGCCGGTGGTTGATGGAATACTCTTGTGTTATTTTCTACGCCCGGATGCCCATGGTGAAAATAGAAAATAGGAAACCGAAAACTGAGTCAGAGCGTCATATCAGCACGTCATTTGACAAAATACTCTGTCTAGCCGCTTTTCTTGGCTGCTGCGAACTAGGTGAGCTTCTTCTGCCAACTTCCGAGGGCATCGTGTTTGCAGATTTCTGCTTGGTTGCGACAAATTGCGGTGATGATGCCAAAATCGCCGGAGGTGTCCACGTGACGTAGCCGGCTCTTCCAAGGCAGGTGCGGCGGCCTTGGCAGCGGAGGAAACAGTATTAATAATTAATGGATACGAAACAGGTGAGCGAGTCATAACTAGAGGCTGCAATGTCTGGCAACTTGATAGTCAAAAATGATACCAATTCAAGGTCGTCAAGCTCCTTATACAAAAGGAAGAATTATTTTCTCGATGCCAACACGATAATAAAAACTGGCCGTTCGAAAAAGGTCTTCAAAAAATTATCTCCTGCTGAACTTCAGGAATATTTGGGAGTAACTAGCGCCTACAAGGCCTATGGAACATTTCGGGACGGTGCCCACTAATAAGGAGTAGCATCCGCAAGGTGATGGAGCAAATGGGCATGGCGCCCAAGGGAGCTCTTCATCGGGCTACGACGGCACAAATAAAACACTGGATGTTCGCCCGCCTCCTTTGGGGAAACACATCAGCAGCAGTGAACTTGGTAACATTGGAACTGCAATTATGGAAAATCCAAAGGAAGCTCCAGCTGACTGATTGCATATTCATCATAAGAATGAATTGCTTCATCTCTATGTCCCTGCCATGAATAAAATTTATGACTTTCAATAGCCCCTGCAAATCCCCTTCAACTGTTTTCCATCAACTTTTCATCAACCCAGTCTGGCGTGTAAGATTCTTTAAAATCTATAATCCACAGGTTTTTATCCATGTCAATGAGACCATTTTCTGGTTTAACATTTTCTCAGATAATCCCAGCTTTGTGGGATTTGTTCTTGCAGTTAATTTGCCATCATTGGCTGTTATGATTAAATGAATTGCTGGTGTTGTGTAATATTCCTCTAGAGTTATTATCCACAGCTCAGTGAGATGAGGTGCCAGCATATGAAAGTGTGCAAACAAGCCTTTGCCATCCAAAAGCACATCTCTTCCATTGAGTCCAATTGGCCAGGTTTAAACTGGAAGTCATCATTATCCATGGATAAGAGATCCTTTATCAAATCAAAAAATTCCTATTTGATCGCCGGAGGCTCGCCGCTCCTCTATGTTTTGACTAGAGCTAAAATATTGAAGTGTCTATGATAGCATGATAGCACATCACAGTCATTTCAGTTCTATCTTTACCACCACACCAAACGTTGACAATATCATATGATGGATCATGAAGCGGAGTGTCTTCGGAACTTTTATTAGAAGTCATCTTAGCAGGACAGAATTATTTCGGCGGATTTTCACAGGCGAAAAGCTTTGAACATGGTTGGTTGTTATGACCCATCTAGTGCTAGCGTGGCAGCTAGTTTACTACGTTATGTGTGTTGTGTGTGTGTGGGGGGGGTCACGTGGAATAGCGCTTGTGCAGAGTGTAGAACCTCGACCAATCAGTTCTTATTGGTCCGGCCGTTGAGCGCCCAAAGCTTATTCAAGCTTATTTCAACCCAAAAACCAACGACTTTCAAACTAAAAAATGACGACATTTCTCTATCCCTCATGTTTTAAGGAGTTTAGAAGAAACTATGGAAACTTAGTACTGTGCGTTATCCCCTCCAGTTGGAATACATCGAGCGCTAACTGCTAACTATATAAAACAAACTATAGAATCCGATCGATAAGACTTTTCGCACCCGTGAATTAGTATTATCACCTGTTTTGCGAGCCTTGTTGAGCTGGTCCTGTGCTTGGTTGATCTGTCAGTAATGATCCATCTTGCGCTTGCTTATACGCTTGCTTCTACGCTTGCTTGTAGGCTCGCAAGTCTGCTTAGGTCGTTGGACCTTGAATGTCTATCCTTACTCATGGGGTTAATGCTTACTATACAGATCTCTTGTATCCATGGAGGATCAATCATTTTTTGTTCGGGTGTCTCACCCACCAATATCTTTATTCCTCAAAAGAAGCCCAGGTTTTACTCGTGTGCTTTGGTGTGAACCACCCATATTTCGTGGTTCATACCATAGATTTTCTTTTACTTGCTGCCTTTGCGGCCTGGGACAGTATTTGGACAAACAACCTTGATAAGGAAACCCCACCGCCATCATGGGCGGAACGCCCGTGGAGCACGACTTTGGCATTATTTTTCCACTACCAAGGGGCAGAGTTCATGGTTTGCGAAAAGTTATGACTTTTCGGAAACCGTTTTTTCCTCTCCGTTAAGCCCTAACGGGAAATCCGTCGATTCTCGAAAAATGTTTGTTTTGACGTTAACTTCAGCGGAACTGTAAATTAAACCCTTCGTCACCTCACGAAGGCACTGGTTTCGTTGTCGTCAAACTCAAAAAGATGACTTCTCATCAGTATTCTACGTGCTGTAAACCAGAGTCACTCATTGAACTTTGACGTTGAGCATGTTTAACCTTTGGAGCAGGGTATAAAGAGGGTGCTGGCCTCCCATTCCCTCCGTTCTGCAAGCAACTTCCTCTGCTGCAGTAAGTGTTTTCAGCTGTACGTACCTATATGAGCGCAGTCAGAAAGCGACATACAATATACACAACCACCTTGTTCAATATACCTTCACATATCGTTTCTTCTTTATAGCATTTAAATCCGGAAAAAGCCCCTGAGCGTACCTACTACCCGCGGCCACGCATACAAACCATCGCCACTCGCCCTCCAAGAATGGCAGTGTATGGCCCCTGCAGCTTCTAAATATTTGAACGTTTCAGCATTTGCCTGTGATATCTCAATACGTGCGTCGCTAACTAAGCTCTTTAGCGTCCAAGAAAACAAGGCTCAGGCCTGGCAAGAGCAACGTTGTGTCGATAAACGGAGCAAGGTGCAATCTGCCGTGTCCAGGCAAGACGAGAACAGACTCCTGAGCATACCGCCAGAGCTCCTTCTGAAAATTACGAGCAACCTCGGCCCGGCGGACAAAGCCTCACTTGCTCTTACTTGTAAAGGTTCGTTGGTTAATTTTGACGTAAAATAGGCAGGAATAACCTTTTCTGACATCCAACTTTTAGGCGCGTACCAATTCTCCAACCTAAATGATTTTGGGCCTATGGATATGCCTCCAATATCCGAAATCTGGGGCCGGGGATGCCACGAGCCATTCCCGATGGAATACGAACGGTTCAAATTCCTTCAGGGCTTGCAGGGAGATTCGCGCAAGGACATTGCCTGTATCTGGTGCCTCAAACTGCACCCAAAGAATCAAAACTGCACTCTTGGATGTGCTCCCAGCTTTTCCTCGGAAAGGCGGATCAAATTAGACGAAACCACCTGCGAATGGCGGCTCACGCTCGGCGGCAGGAGCACCGGCATCTACATATCCAACTTCGAGAACGTCGACGAAGAGTCAAAAGAATTTATCGCCAATAATACTGGCACGGTTGAAGAACGCTTAGACGGACGTTATATTTTTACTATTCTACAGCCTTACAGGGAAGTGGAACTTCCTAAAGGATACGAAACATCAGGAGAGAAATTCATTACCATCCGCGTCGACTACGACAAAGTCTTCGACCGCGACGCTTTCTTTGGTCCCCAGCTCAAAAACGCCTCCGTCAAAGTATGCAACCACATGAACTTTCCCGAAACCCCTGAACTCTGGGATATGGTCTACTGCAAAGTCATGAACCATCCGGAAAAGCTTTCCTGCCACAAATGCGCCAACGCTCCACACCACTGCGACAAGTGCGACGCCATCTTCAGCTTTAATGTGCAGCCACTAGACACACTTGGGGAACTGTCTGAACGCTACGTCATTCTCCGGGGACGCGTTCTCCGCCGAATCAGCACGAAGCTAAGGCAGCGTGCGAAAATCAGAGCTATCGATTCCTCAATGCCTGACGAAACGACCGGGCCATTTGCGCTGGACTCTACGTGGGGCACGATGCAACACAAAGTAGCTATACGAGGTGATTTTGGATGGAGGCCTGGTGACTCTCTCGATGATCAAGAGCCAATGTGTTACATTCCCCCCTACCAGAAAAATGGAAAAGACTCTCTCGATTGAAATATTCAAAATTCGAAAAAAAAAGGGGGTTGAAGGTGTCTGGATTATACATGATCATTTTTGGATAGGAGTTGGGGCCGGCCTCCGATTGGGAAGACATTTATTTTTGGATACAAAACCGGTTTATGGGAACTATATTTGCTATACGGAGTTGACTAGATTGGGTTATATACATTCGCCGCACAGATCTCGAGAGAGAGTTTTTCATCTTATATGCTGCGGTCAATTGTTGGATAATTCTCTTTTGTTCTTGCGACTGCGAAGGATTGTTGAAGATTTTTTTTTTTCGCAACGCGCCAAACGTTCTCAGATCGTTTCGAAGTTGGATTCTGGATTCTGGCAGGATGCTCTGGACACTTGTTGTTTGTTTTGTACTGTACATGTGCTTCAGTAAATTCCGTTGCAGTTTGTTAGCTTTTATTGTTTGTCTCCCACAGTTTCAAGTTTCGTTCTGTTCTGCCTCCCACAATTTCAAGCTCCGTTCTGTTCAGCTACATGCAATGTTCCTGCATTTAGGTTTACCTGCAGATGTAATGTTAATGAAGCATTTCCTTATGAACTCCATTGTCCATGTCTCCTGGTAATGTTGAATCGTAGATATCTCACATTCACTCGTAGTGTTTGCGCATCAAATACGGTGCGACCCCAAGGATTTAGAAGGATGAATGTCACGAATATGAAGGCCCCCCTACGTAGAGGCGGATTCAAATATACACAGCAGAAAGTAATAAAAACATGCGGAATTAAACATATAGATTTCATTCCAATTTCATTGCTATCAGGTAAGGATTGCGATACGCCAGTAATGGTTCAGGAGACGAACAACTAAAATCCAAAGCTACTGACAAGCATGTTCCAGAAACTATTCAAAGAGGATTTGGCTTGAGTATGGAAATACATTCTTCAGGGTTAAGGCATGTGGAAATGGACTTTTGTTATGGCGAGGTCAAAACTGACACTCACCGATTTTGTTAAATGTTCATTCTCAATAAACTTTTCCACTCCCTGGTTCAGTAGCTTTATCTGGGTAGTGCATCATGGCCCGAATTCTGTTATATTCACTCTGGGTAATGGGAAGATATTTGGATGGATTACTTGGGCTAGTGCAGCTAGGAAGACATTCTATAACTGACGTTGGGTCCGGGGCGATGAAATACGGGATAGAGTAACGTTCCCTAACCATGCGATTGGGTCCATCAAGCCGATCTGCTAGGGGCGGCATAGTGACACGGTGGGAAGTTGAACGAAGGTTATCTGTGAGCAGATAATGTAAGTTAGAGTCTTCCAGAACAAACTAATTCTGTGTATTTGATATGGAATGCTTGAAAGCCATCTCTTCCAATTCTACGGTTACCATGGCTATTTTTACGCTTTCAGATGGAAGCGGGTTAGAAGGAGGGAGGGGGGGCCGGCGTGCGTGCAAATTCTACAACATATATGTACAACTTACCATTGCTCCATCTTTGGAGGAGATCTCCAACATTCATGACAATGGCGTTTTTAATCGGGGTGGCTGGAATGAACTGGCCTGGCCGCTTGATATCTTCAACTTCTAGACCGCCACACTCATCCTGGAAGAGCATTGTTATAGAGCTCCAATCTGTGTGAGCAGGCATACGAGCACATTGTTCGTTCTCCAACGCCGCGGCCGGTAAGGGAGGATAGTGGAGGAGGCGAAGTTGGTTATTATTACCAGAGTGGAATTTGATAAGATGATTCGCATCTTCAAGACCAATGCCAACGGATATTGCTCTAAGAATATCCTTAGCAACGGCGAAGCATTCCCAGTAGAACTCCATCATAAAGCTTCGGAAGCCGGGAAGTGTCTCTTCGGGAATCCAGACGTTTGGCTGATAGGAATCCTCCTCGCTTCCCATGTCATAGCTTTCCTGCAAAAGTAAACAAGATATGAGTACATTAACTCGTTTATCCTAAGCCCCAGTTGGGCGAATATTTTGATGACAGTATAAATAACAAATCAGACGGCGTATGGCTCAAAATACCTTATAATCGGTAATCTCTCGCAGCTCCTTCACTAACTCTGGCATGGCCTTATCACCCATTGCCTGTGATACTTTTTCGAGACCTGGCCAGGAATATCCCCGATGGATCGAGGAGCCATCTGGATGTGGTGCCTGGAGCTTTTGCTCAGGCGAGAGGTCGAAAAACTTTTTTGACCATGCAAAGGCCTCAGCCAAACGCTCTCTGGGAATGGCATGGTTGATAATATATGCAAAGCCGACATTCTGACATGCCGACACGATCTCTTTGGCGACTTTCATCCTTTTTTCTGGCGGACTGTCTGTTTTCCAATCGGAGAAATCGACGACTGGAATATGGGCAGAAGGCTCTTTGGTCTCGCTACCTTCTCTGGCCTGTTGCTGCTGCTGCATATTTCCTGAATTCATACTTCAGTTTCGCAGACTCAGACTTAATTTTGCAGGTAAAGAGTTATCGTAACAGGCTGATATATTTCCTTTAATGGAGGCCAGGGTCCAACTTTTATTGTTGTCATTAGGATCAGGTGACTGTGATGACACGGCATTCCTTACAGCCCAAGCGGAATTCAAAAACATTCAAATTTCTTGCTAATCCATTTGCTTTCTGGCCTCTTGTATGCTGGCCATTGTTAGGTGGGTAGTTGGATTGTATTCGGAGGATGGCAAAAGAGAAAAAGGGAGCGCTTTACCCCTTACTAAAATTTGGCGCCCCTCCCGCTAACTCTACCAAACAACAGATTTTCCCCCTACTCTGTACATAAATGTATACATACATCCAAATGGTTCTGACGCCCAACCCCTCCGACCACAGTCCAAAGCAGAGTCTAGGTATAACCTGCCGCATTGCAGCTGAATAGGAATAGGACAGTGGTTTCCTTGCAGCAAAATGGCAGTGTATTTAAATGAATACATCACGTAGGTTGGAGCAGGCACGAACTGGCCCGACCTGGCTGTGATGGCTGTGATCTCTGCACACATACACAAAACAGCGGTTAGAAGCCGATAGGGCCTGCCTGATCTCAATGAGAACACTTACTCTCGCATTGACTGTCGCGGATAATGTATTGTTATCTCCTGATACATGCAAAAGTGGCAGGCCTGATGTCAACCTGTCCGACTGTCGTTACCACCGTCAGACGTCTATTCATCCTCCAAAACACAGCCATACTATGTATTTCCCACCCTGCATCCCTTCTGATAATGCATTTCTTTACATCCATAAAGTCCTATGTTGTCTACTCCTCATTTGCCTTTCAGCTTTTCTCATATTCTGCGGGGGCATTGCCATCGCGTAAGTAATATACAACCGTAGGCAAGAAAATGCCTTTACACAGAAGCTCTCCGTCCCACTTTCGAATATATCCGCTGATATGGCTTGAAAAACCTGCAGTCATAACTTGCATCGGCGAAAACGAAACGATTCCTATAAATTATGCGGCTCTGGGGGACAGTTATGCCACAGGAATCGACGCCGGCAAACAACTTCGATCCTCCTGCTGGCGGTTTAAAGACAGCTATCCCATGCAGTTGATCCGTACAGGTCTGCTCGGACAAAACCACTCTTTCCAGTTCCTCGCCTGCTCGGGAGCGGTGTTGGGTATACCGGGCACTTCCTTTAGCAAGCAAAAGTCGATCAGTAGACAGATAAAGGCTCTCAAGCCCACGGATCTGGCCACATTGTCGATTGGTGGCAACGATGTTGGTTTCTTCAATATCCTTAATGCATGTGTCTATCGTTTCTACGGTATCCGGTCGGGAAATTGCAATGAACAACTGACGAAATCGAAGAGGCTTATCTCCAGTGATAAATTTGCAGATGCATATACTAAGACCCTAACCAATATATTAGCCAAGGGTACCGGGCCTCACTTTCGGCTCCTGGCACTTGGATATAGTCCTTTCTTCGACGAAGCCCTCTCCGAAGACTGCACTAAAAGGTCTTTCGGATACTGGAGGATGTGGCGCCCAAAGCTTACGGTGAAGTTACGTCGGCAACTAAACGAAATCCCCCTCTACCTGAACAACAGGATTGTCCAGCTTATCAAGGTCATGGGTGATGAGAGGATCGTTTGGGTTGACTGGGCTCCCAAATTCAAGGATCATCTCTTTTGTCAGCCGGGCAAAAAAAGGCCTAGTGACGGCGACAATACGTGGTTCTTCGATATTGATTCCCGCTCAAAGAATTTGTCTGTCGACGACGTCGACGTCGACGCTTGCGCGCAACATTCGCTAGATTCGGGGGATTGGGGTCACCGAGCCGCTTGCGGGATTGTTATGGTTCGTGAGCAATATTGGAAATATCCACAAATCCTACGTCGGGGATCAGACAATGAGGAAGATGAGCACAAGGATGAGGAGGACGACAAATTCTCTGTCGATTACTTTCCCAATAAGCGTGGTTTGGCGCGTGTCTTTCATCCTAAGCCGCAGGGCTATATGGCTATTGCAGAAGTAATTCAGAGTCACTGGCCGGGTATGCCTTGTGAGCGAAATGTAGCAGAACAACGCGACAGTAACTAGAAGGGATCCGCGAATCCAAGTATAGAAAGAAAGCAATTCAAACGCAGTGCAGCCACCATACCCCATGACACCTTGCATAAAGGATACATTCCTCTTCTACAAAACTTCTAATCTGAAGTTGATAAGCATGCATTATCGTTGGATTAGTTAGGGTGGAGTGTATTTCTGCATTGTATTGGAACTTCCAAATTCACCTCCTCCCACCCACCCTTTCATCCGCTAGGATATAACCCACTGTGAACCTATGTTGAAGGAGCCTTAAATATACCCATCCTTCTGTTACTGCAATTGAAAACAACGCAAATTTACACCTCCTATCCCATCTACCTATCCTGGTGAGGAGCCTAAAATTAGAGAGAAATGATATCTGATATACCAGTCAGTCCCGTCGTTTTGTTTCCATGTTCGGTGTCGTTAAGAAAAGTTCAAACGTGCATACATACATACATAATCGCATCCTCATATCCCCTCCTCCCCTCCATCAAACAACACATTCCGTTCGGGGGATGTATATTGTATATCACTAGACATAGTATCAAATAGGAACGGGGCTGCGATAGTGGTTTGTGGTACGGTAACAGAATACGGCAGGGGGAAACGAAACCTTCGTCATCCCTCCTCCATTCAGGAAAAAAAAAAAAAAAAAAACAGAAAAAAACTCGCCATCCTCAAGAAATCAGAAAGAAATATAGCTACTATGCAGTAGGTAGATTTGGTGAATTTACTCTCTCTCAAAGCCGCCGCTGTTCTCGTAGAAATGAAGCTTCCATGTCTACCTTTTATTGTATGCACCTGAGGTTTGTTTTGGATATATGCATACGTACTGATCGCCGTATACGTCGTGGTGATTGTTGGTGGTCGTTGGTCCCGATGTGCCGAGCCGCTGATAGGTCCATGCTGTGGCCGCGGTTAGAAGCGGGATTCAAGGGCCAGCCAACCCAAGACTAATGCAGCCTGGTAGGTAGCATGTTCTCTGTACTCTTCTATAGATTTACGGCAGAGCGGGCTTCCATGTAGCTGCCCTCGAGAATCAAGGCATACATGCGGGGAGAAAGGAGAAAGGATTGAAAACGATTGTCTAAAATGAAGCGAAACAGTTGGCTTCTTTTTACTCTATTTATTATAGCTTTGAAATATCGAACATGTATAAAATACATTAAAAAGCAAAAGTCAGATAATGTAACAAATATTTAGTAAGGACAGGTTTACAACGAACAAGTAATAATAAAAAGGACTTAGGGAACTGAACAAAACAAGGGGCCACGAGTCAATCCCACCATTATTTCTCAAAAAAAGAAAGGTTCGAGAAAACGGCGAGGAGACAGTCAGAACCGGCCAATTAGGAAGTAGAATACGTTATGCATACAAATAGCAAAACGAAAAAGTAACAAGGAGCTGCTCAAACAAGAATTGTAATAGTACGGACGACAAAACGAACTCGACACCCTAGTCAGCGGATGCCAAGGGCAGGGCATTGACGAGAAAGAAACAGATTCCGAAAAGAATTGTAAAGAGTTGAAAAGTCGAGACCCGAGACGAAAGAATAAAGAATGAAGCAGAGGGGATCAAGACGAAAGTATGGAAGCGTTGGTCAGAGCTGACTTTGACAAAAAGGTATCATGAGAGAGAAGGAGTGTCAGTCAAGACCTCGTGGTTCACTCCAGTTACCAATTCGGCAAGTCGAAACTCAATTATGGCTTGTTACTCTCAACCTCCCATCATCGCATATTCCATTGAAAAACAGCAAACGACAACATTAGACAATAGCGGGCGAAAAGAGATCAGAATTTCAAACAATCGAAGCAACAAACATCAAACACATAAACTTTTGTTGGGAACATCATAATATCCAGAGACGAGATGTCTTGCTTACTCTCTGGCTTCGGCGATAGACTTCCAATAAGCCTCCCGCTTACGAGACTCGGCCAGAGACGCTTCCAGCTCTGCAATTTTCTGTTCCATTTGCATCTGCAATTCGAGCTTGCGAGCGCGAGACTTCCGTGCAGCCTCTGTATTGCGTGCCCGCTTAGCAGCAGTCGCATCAGTTGGGTCATATTCAATCGGCGGCAGAGGCTTCTCGCGATGGCGAGGCTTCACACCGGAAATAGAGGAGTGACGGACAGATGGTCGACCATTTGGGCGAGGGGATTCATCAGGAGAAGAATCGCTGCTCTTGATTGCTGGTGACGAAGAGTGAGATGCAGATAGAGAGTTGGGGCACTTCGCAGGCTTTTCGATAATGGTTGAGTTATGGGTATCAGTCGGGAAGAGAGAATCCCAGTGCTCGTGGCCAGGGGCAAGATCGGAATCCGCGAAGAAGAGAGGGGAAGTGTTTTGACTGAAATAACCGGGAGAGTCGAAAGAAGGAGTGCTGATGTCTGTGAAGGATGTTGAAGGCGGGAAAGCCGCATCCAACATCAGATCCTTTGGTGACACAGTCACCGGATTCCCCATCTTTACAGAATCGTTGATAGAAGTGAAATCAATGACACCAGGAGACGACACGAAGTCCTCCGCCGTGTGGTTGGCAGGGAAGTCGAGTAGCTCGTCAAAATCTGGTATAGAGCGTTAGAATACAAAATGATTACAACTGGAGGAAATCAGATTCTGATATCCAACACATACCTTGCGGGATACTAGATGTAGACATAATACGACGATGAGGTTGCTGAACGTTCAAATTCTGATAGGAAATATTCTCCGCGCTATTACTAAACAATGGAACTGGGGGACGATGGGTTCGAGGCGAATTTGACGGGACTGAAGCCGCGTAGAAACTTGGGGGCCTCACACCGGATGGACTAGACTGTTTGCTGGAAGACGAAGTAGAGAACCCTTGAGACTGTGAAATAACCTTGGTTACTCGGGGATCCTGGACAGGCAAGCCGCTGTATACGTGATTGTTACAAAGCTGCTGCGGATGATACGAATGCCGTCGAGAATCCTGAGTGTAATTAAAGGCAAAATCCGAAGAAGACTGGGGATAGGCCCTAGGGATATTGGAGCTGGATGGGCTCGCAAGCTGAGTACCGTTGCGAGAGGTCTGTCGGCGCGAAGGGCTGGGGTATAGCACAAAGTCGTCCTGAGGATAGAGTGTGGAGTGTTGAGCCAGAGGCTGCGATGATGGGGGTTGAGAAGGCCATGTTGACTGTAGTTTGTCCGTGGTGAACGACGTAACGTCGAACGGGGAAATGTTTGGTCGGAGCGAAGAACTGGAGCTACGCGTAGCGATGCTGGAGTTCAGAGATCCTGAAAAAGGAGACTCTGAAGGGGGAGTTGAGATATTTAACTCTGGAGAGTGGATGGAAGCTATGGTGTCTGTCCTTTTAGGAGAGACAGAAAAGGTAAAAGAAAGCCAAAAGGCTTAGAAGGAGGCCATAATTTGGAACACTTTGATTGAAACCCTGATTATAGTCTATGTGCGTCTCTGGACTGGGTAGAGTTTTTGGGTCTGATGTATGATGGATGATGTTGTGGGAGGGGAGATTTTACGGAGGGGGAAAAGAAAAAAGTCAGAAGTGGGAATCAGGCATCTATTAAAGCGCGGGCATGGCTTGCGGCTGCTGGTGGGTGTCCCAAAACAGCTTAGCGCCTGAGGCTGAATTAGCGCCGAAGAACCATAGACGCTAGGCCCAGCTGGGTACCCCGATTTAGCCGCTAGATCTAACATGGACTAGTGTGTTGTTCCCGGTGTCTCGGGTGTGAGTCATAGCCCATGCTGGCTTCTGATTGGCCAATGGCTTGCTCCTTCTCTCCACCTTGAACGCGCTAAAAGCCCCGCAATCGCAAAGCCAAGTGGAGCGCGCTGGAATCAGGTACCTTTGGTGGACTCCGTGACTTGCCTCTTCCTTCACGCAAATGCAAGTACCTCCTCGGTAATCTATACTTTTTCTGACAAAGATGTTGGGGGTCCCGGGGGTTGATCGGCCCTTCTACCAGCAGCGCTGGTGGTGACTGAGCTCTTTTGCCCGGTAGCCTACAAAAGACTACACGGCGGTCGGTCCAGGTCGCGGTCTCACGGGACCTGGCAGGCCAATGTAGGCCAGTTCGGGGTTAGCGTGGGCTGTGTTTGACTCACTTTGCGCCTCGCCCTGGCCAGATATACGAAGGGGTTTCGGCGCCTCGGTGACTTCTCTGGGAATAGAGAGTACTCTGTATGCGAGATGAGGATGAGCTTTGCTCTTGCCAGCAGACATACGCAGTGTAGACCGCATTATTCTTTTGGATTAGGATCAAGAATTTAGAGGAGGAGGGAAAAAAATAAATTACCCTATGCTCTCCTCAAGTGTAAGATGGATGGACCCAGTCTGAAATCCACCCAATTATTTGCGTCCCTTTCTGCCAGGTGTCAAAGCCAGGGCGTGACAAGAAAAAAAAAATATGATCAAAAATCCAAGAAATTACCCTCTTTTTTTCTTTTTTTTTCTTTTTCTGACATTCCGCAGGTTCCTCAACTGCACTTTCTTGGCTAATTTTTAGCCGCTACGTTTTGTGGGGTAACTTTTGTACTGTACGTTGCAGTTGGTGCCTTGGGTTCCATTCCTAGAGGATATGTCCGGACCTGCGTCGCAGCATTTAAAGCGGCATTTTCCATCATGGGGAATCCAGAAGTTGGAGCATCCGTTTCTGCGGGAGTTGCCAACGAATAATAATAATGTGGATCTTTGTCCTCTCCCAAAACCTCTCTCCCAAATACAATTTTCGATGATATCAAAGCCAGGAGAACTGAAAACGACTTGGGCCAGATATTATGCCGTGGTATAGTCGATTTGGCGGCGCAAAACCCAGAATCCACCACCCGTGAGGTGGACGCCTGAGAAACAATGAACCAGGTAAGGTACGTGGGCGGGAAACTGATAACCGAACACCATTCCATATTTAATATTGGCGTTCGTGCGCAATGCACACACCAGCCCGGACGATGGAGATCAGACGAAAAGCCGACGCCTTTTTGGTTGTGTTACACTTCAGAACATTTAACAAAGAAGGAGGTAATCATTTCACCCTGTTGTTTTTAAAGACTAAAGAAAAGAGATTCAAAGTTTTAGCAAGCAAGGAAACAATGACAAAAGCAAGATCGGCAACCTTTTTTCGGCTCTTCGTTCCCTATAAGCTCGCGAGATCCTGTCCTCTAGCTTTTGGCTCCCATTTTCCATTCACCGTCAAGCCGACCCAATTGCCAGCGCCAAATAAACCCTGGTCTCATCAGGACAGAAACCGGCACGATTATTCTGACTGATATGAATTTCTTCGTCCACTGTTATGGGAACCGTTACGTCAAGGCAGATATGAAATATGAAGGGAGGGAGAAAGCAGATGCGGACGGGAGTCCAGGGGTTGGTAAGGCAGATTCATCATTTCAGAAGTGGATTGTGACCAGCACAACAGTGACAACACCGACTCCATTTGACACCTAGGAGGCTTACCAGATGAGTATATCAACACGACTCAATTCTACTCTCCGAGGCACTCTCTTCAATTATTTCGTGCATATCAAAGAAACCCCTCAAACATGGCAAGTTCTGTACCTGTTGAGAGTCGGTCACTTGCAGATGTTGCGGCAGCAGCAACGGTGCCTCTTCGGGATGATTTGTTTTCGGATTGTGTCTCGCCCTGTCTCCATTGAGAACATCGTCAACTCTGTGTGTTCCAACTACGGAGAGGCCCTGCTCACTGATAAGATCACGAAATGAAGTGAGCGACATGCACCTAACGTGTCATTCTAATGGGGGGATAAAATGAACAATCTCAAAGTGAAAAGTTCTAAATATGTATATGGGTTAACGTAGCAACATATACCAAAGACAAATATAATTGAAGCTTCATATAATCTTACCTGATTTTGTTCACATTAGTTATTTAGTGAGGTGTCTATATAACACATTCAATGTGCAGCTACTATTTAGAGCTAGATCTTTTTCTCCCAGTTTGAAACTGTCGCGAGATAGATGATTAAGAGAACACCAGAGCCTAAAAAATTGGTCATGATGGCAAAATTTCTCAAGGTAACTAACAGCTAGTGCGAGATGACGGACGATAGAAAGACGATGAGGGATCAGGAATGTGAAGGTTCAAAAATGCCTAGAACCTTATTTTGATTAAGGTTAACAAATGCCAAGAAACGGGCTAAAAATAGACTCTCCTGCAATGCAGAGCTACAACAATTTCAACTGTCGGGCGCCTCCTCCTGGTTCATTTCTATTTAATGCTGAGTGGCAACTGCAATTTTTAAAGTTAATTAAACTTTCCGGAACCAAGCAAACTCAGTGTACCTATCAAGTTTTCATCGGGGACCTATCAGATACTTGATCCTGGTTCAAGACAGTTAAACTCCAGGCACAGATACACGTGCCTTCGCTTACCCCACCACATCGTTGGGTGGGTGCGCCTCACCACAACGATATTATCACCACAATGTTACCTTTATCTAATTCATCTATCATCACATTATTATTATCAATTAACCACTTACAATATGACTACTGAAAATGAAATTATTGAGAAAAGGGTTCAAGATGCCTTTGACATGTATAAATGCAATTCAAAACAAAAAGTCAAGCCATTGGCTTGAGAATTTAACATGCTCTATTCCTACCTTCACTGCTGTATTACTGAGATCAAATCAAAGATGAAGAAACAGCCAATTAATCAGATGTTAAATGAAGCTCAGAAGAAGGCAGTAAAAGAGTGAATTAAACAGATAAATAGTCAGAATAGAGTTGAACAGCCTTCAATCATTGATAATATTCAGAATTTCACAAATTTGATTCTTGTTCAGAATTCCATTGATTCTGAGATCAATTCTTCTACTGTGAGAAAGATGTGATCTTATAGATTTATCAAATGTCTCTCAGAGTATAGATGAATCAAACAGAAGTCAATTGATTCAAATAACTCTTTGTAGAAGATATTTACATCATTCAAATATGATATGACAGATTGAAGATCACAATATTGAGATATCAAATACGAGAGAGACTGAGAGAGATCTCTATAATATGAATGAGATTGTATTTCAAGAGGAAAAAGGACATTCAGAATGAGTTCTAACCTCTCAACCTGATTATAATGCTGTCCTCAGTTTGAACTTTTCATGTGAATTGATCACTATGATAGAATGTATTACATCACTTGCAGACAGCCAAATGTCTTCAAATGAAAAATACATGTTGTCAAGTATGCAGTATAGGAGGTATAATGATGGTTAAGAATGCCAATCAGCAGATTGAAGCTCAGCGGGTGGAGGAGATTCAAAAGGAGTCTAAAGGACATCCACGATGCAGATCAAGAGGTTATAAATATTGGATTAATAGGTATGAGAGATGCAGAGGACCTTTTTTTTTATATATATAAAGAGGGTGATCCTAATATACCAAGACATTGAAGCTACAAATATATTCATTCTTGATGCAAAGTAATGTTGTGGTGAGACGCACCCACCCACGATGTGGTGCCACTGTGGTGGGGTAGTTAAGCGATAAGTTAATCCCAGAACTCGGACTGTTGTATTTGAACATCACTTGTCCAATTGTCCAAGTTGGGTTGACAGATTCTACCAAGCATATTCCTTATGTTTTATTTAGTTCCCTTACATCTTCAATGTCAAAATAGCTATCTTTCTCTATTTGACATGTGGTGTGCTGATTTAGAAGAGGCTGTCATGAATGTCTTCTAGCACTCCCCGTAAAACACTCTATACATCTCTCAGGATATTCAAATTACTAGACACAACAGGACCATTGAATTACTCATTTGAAGCAATCCCTAGTGAGGTTATCTACAATATTGCAAAACCTTCTGTATAACTATTTTCTCCTCTGAAAAGATGTGGTTTTCGTTATTTGACATTTACCACCATTAACTAGCTGTCAAGGGATAGCTCGCTCAAAATCTTCACAGCAAACCGCAGCAGTTACTTGTACAGGCAGGACATGCATAATTAGCCATTTATTCACCTATTTCTGACCATCACCACACCACGAACCTATGCCAGCCGAGCTGTGCCTGATCGAGCCGCCTTTCCCGGGCGCCGTCAGCTCCGCTGCAACAACGCCCCAAGCTCACTGCACTGCATGTTCCCCGACTCGGCTAAGTAAGCCGCGGACGGACCATTGTCCACCAACCAAACAAAATCACCGCCGTCTGATTCTCCAACCCCCACGGTTTCTACCTACCCCAAACACTCCCGCAAGCATTCGATACCACCCTATCCTGGGGTCGCCCGCTAGCTCTTACTTTCCCCTCATTCGTCATTACCCAAGCAATCTGCAGTTGCTCTCGTGAGGTGACGTGACATGCTCCCCCTCGTCATCTGCGGTACGCACCCGAGAGCAGCCTCCTCCTTTGACCCTCAACTCCCCCTCTGAGACTTGAGTAACAATTGCACAACACCTGGATACTGGTCACCACCCGCTGTTGTACGTGGCAGATGCCAGCCTGCTTACTTGTGCAATCCCATTGTCTGCTACAGGTCTGAAAACATGAGCTGGTCGCTCACCATTCGCCCTGCTCTGCGGCCTTGCCGCGGCGGCACCTGTCCAGACGCCGCATCTCTCCCTCAGCGTTTGCGCGCCGCGATTTCTGGTCAGTATAAATTAACCTTTGGGATCTTTCTCTAAAATCCTTCATTATCTCCAAAATCTGGATATAAAATAAAGTTTCGCCACTAACAACTGAGGCACCTGTTGGCAGCTACTCAAATCCGTCGGTTCTCCGCTGGACCCCAATGGTGCGAGGAACAGAAGAAACCCACCACCCCACCGAACTTGATAACCTCCGTTCCTTACTCTGCCCTAACCATTGGGATCCCCTTCGAAACCTTCCCGAACGAGCGACGCGTTGCCCTGACGCCACAGAATGCCGCTCTCCTGTTGAAGAAGGGATTCGGGCGCGTGCTGATTGAGCGTGGTGCTGGTGCTCAAGCTAAGTTTACAGATGAAGCATATGAGAAAGCGGGCGCAACGCTTGTGGACAGGACGGCTGTTTGGCAGGATAGCGATATCTTGCTGAAAGTTCGTGCGCCCTTGCTAAATGGATCCAGCAACAACGAAGTGGCCGCTCTCCGGGAGGGGAGCACCCTCATTTCTTTTCTATACCCCGCACAGAATAAGGAACTGGTCAACGCCCTGGCTGCTCGCCGCGTAACTTCGTTTGCGATGGATATGATTCCTCGCATCTCCCGCGCACAAGTTTTTGATGCTCTAAGGTATACTTTTGGGAATACCCCTGTCCGGCCAATTTTTTTAGAAAATATGTATACTCACGGCTTCATTAGCTCTATGGCAAATATCGCAGGCTATAAAGCCGTCCTCGAAGCTTCGAATCACTTTGGGCGATTTCTTCCAGGTCAAGTTACTGCAGCTGGGTAAGTGGCCCATCCGGATTCTCTATACTGCTATAGACAGCAACGGATATTAAGACGGGGATATGCTAACGAGTTGCTGTTCAAATGCTGTAGAAAGGTAATATAATTCGATTTGACACTGTACGAAACTAGAATATCTAAAAGCTAATTTGAGGTGTAGATCCCCCCAGGTAAAGTTCTCGTTATCGGGGCTGGTGTAGCTGGTCTCAGTGCCATTGGTTCCGTACGTATCTTGTCCGCCCCAGTAATTATGAATGCCCATGCTTTTCCTCTAACTGCGCACGTAGGCCCGTCGTCTTGGAGCAATTGTCCGAGGGTTTGATACACGATCAGCCGCACGCGAGCAAGTACAGTCTCTTGGTGCTGAATTCATCGAAGTCGACATCCAAGAAGAAGGCTCCGGTGCTGGTGGCTACGCGAAGGAAATGTCGAAGGAGTTCTTGGAAGCTGAAATGAAGCTATTCATGGAACAGTGCAAAGAAGTAGACATTGTGATCACCACTGCTTTAATTCCCGGAAAACCAGCGCCTAAGTTGATCAAGAGAGAGGTATGCATTTGCTTATATCGACCACATAGCTAAGGGCATTCCGCTAAAGTTCGTGATACAGATGGTAGCAGCAATGAAACCAGGCTCTGTCATAGTTGATCTAGCGGCTGAAGCTGGTGGAAATTGCGAATTAACTGTTCCCGGACAATTGACTGTTGAAAACGGCGTTACCATTATTGGTTTGTCTCACGCTCGATTTATGTCGTCGTTTTTTGCTAACGCTCTACTAGGATACACGGATCTTCCTTCTCGACTTCCAACACAGTCATCCACTCTATACTCCAATAATATCACCAAATTCCTTCTCTCCATGGCCCCAGAAGAAAAGAAATTTGGCATCGACCCTACAGATGAGGTTGTTCGTGGCTCAATTGTTACTGAAAATGGCGAAATCCTCCCCCCCGCTCCTCGACCTGCTCCCCCTCCCGCTCCAGCTCCCAAGACTGCTGATCTTTCCAAGGAGAGTGCTACCCTAGCCCTGACCCCATTCCAGAAGATCTCTCGGGAGGTTGCCACCGTAACTGGTGGAATGGGTCTAGCAGTAACCCTCGGGAAGATCACAGGCCCATTGTTCATGAGCAACGTATTTACCGCTGGACTTGCCTCGCTTATTGGCTATCGTGTTGTTTGGGGAGTAGTTCCTGCTCTACACTCCCCGTTGATGAGTGTAACGAACGCCATCTCAGGTAAAAACGATTCAACTCCTTTAACTGAAAAGAGTTAACTCACGAAAATCATAATCTAGGCATGGTTGGTGTGGGCGGCCTATTTGTCATGGGGGGAGGGTTTGTTCCTGAGACCGTTCCGCAGTTCCTCGGCGCATTATCGGTCCTGTTGGCATTTGTAAACGTATCTGGCGGTTTCGTCATCACCAAGCGAATGTTAGATATGTTTAGACGTATGCTTTCATCAAGTTTCCTTTTCCACTTCCCTATCCAAAGCTTCATAACTAACAATCTCACGAACATCAGGACCGACGGATCCCCCTGAATATCCTTGGTTATACGCCATTCCCGGCCTGTTGTTTGGTGGAGGCTTCATTGCAGCCGCAAGCACCGGTATGGCTGGCCTTGTGCAAGCCGGATATCTTGTTAGCAGTCTCCTGTGCATTAGTACGTCGACCCATTTTAGCTCCTCCCATATTATCACCCTCTAACGCACGCATCTAGGCTCCCTTTCTGGCCTTGCTTCTCAAGCGACGGCGCGGCGAGGCAACATCTTAGGTATATTGGGTGTAGCTTCCGGAATGCTCGCTTCCCTGGCTGCTGTGGGCTTCTCCCCTGAAGTTCTTGCGCAGTTCGTCGGAGTTGCTGGGTTTGGAGGTATTGTTGGTGAGTAGCTCAATTTTTTTAAACCCTGATCGGTTTACATACATCGAGAAGAAAACATAGTTCTAATTTATTTAGGCGCCTTGATCGGTCGTCGCATTACGCCAACTGGACTGCCACAAACCGTTGCAGCATTGCACTCCGTTGTCGGATTGGCTGCCGTTCTTACCAGCATTGGAAGTGTTATGGCAGATCTTGGACATATTTCCACGCTCCATCTTGTCACTGCATATATGGGAGTTGTCATTGGTAATACCTCTTTCAAAAAAAAAAATGTTTTCTAGACACAGCTAATTGACCATAGGTGGCATTACTTTCACTGGTTCAATCGTCGCCTTCCTCAAACTAGCGGGACGGATGGCTTCTCGTCCCACTATTATACCCGGCCGGCACGTAATTAACGCATCTCTCCTCGGAGGAAATGCCGCTCTGATGGGAGCATTTGTCACCATGGCCCCAGGTGCTCCTATGACCGCAGCGTTATGCCTGGGGGCTAGTACGGTACTCAGCTTTTTGAAAGGATATACTACAACTGCTGCCATCGGTGGTGCTGATATGCGTACGTTTTTGTCCCACGTCTGAAAGTGTGTTTGTTTATACAGATTCAACTAACTAGAGATATCATTTCCCCAATAGCCGTGGTAATTACCGTTTTGAATGCATATTCTGGGTTTGCGCTGGTTGCGGAGGGCTTCATGCTCGACAACCCCCTATTGACCACTGTCGGATCACTTATCGGAGTCAGCGGTTCTATTTTGTCATACATTATGGTAAATTCCTCCGTTTTCGACTCTCTGTTACTCCTGTCTTTACTAACATGACACTCTTCAGTGTGTTGCTATGAATAGATCCCTGACCAACGTGCTATTTGGTGGCATATCCTCCACAACCGCTACGGATCACAAAATTGAAGGACAAATTACTAAAACATCGATCGATGAAACGGTGGATTCCCTTGCTAATGCAGAGAGCGTTATAATTGTATGATCTGAAATAATAGTTCCCTCAATTCTATCCTAGATAACTGACTGTCTCCCAGGTTGTCGGCTATGGAATGGCTGTCGCGAAAGCCCAGTATGCAATCTCGGAGATCACACGAATGCTGCGCGCCAAAGGAGTGAAGGTCAGATTCGCAATCCACCCCGTGGCCGGCAGAATGCCTGGGCAATGCAACGTCTTACTAGCAGAAGCCTCTGTGCCATACGATAGTAAGTGACCTTTCCGAACCTTGACATGAACACATGTAAACTAACAATTTTTACGCCTGCTAGTCGTACTGGAGATGGATGAAATCAACGATGATTTCGATGACACTGACGTGACGCTGGTTATTGGTGCTAATGATACCGTCAACCCGATCGCGCTGGAGCCCGGCTCTCCGATCGCTGGCATGCCCGTTCTAAATGTTTGGAAGAGCAAGGAGGTCATTGTCATGAAGCGAGGCATGGCTAGTGGATACGGTCAGCTTAACTCCCTATTTAATATTTATCTTGCGTTACGCCAGCCTCTGTTTTCTCTCAACAAGGAGATGAAAAGGCGCTCGAAGCTGCAAAAAAAATTCACCCATGACCGGTTTGAAACTAACCACTTTGTGATCAACCTATGTTATAGCCGACGTACCGAACCCCATGTTCTACATGCCCAAGACAAGGATGTTGTTCGGAGACGCGAAGACTTCCTGCGATGGTAAGATTGATTGATCGCATCTCAAAATGGTCCAGAACTCCCCGGTTTACTTTTCCCAGTTAGCTAACCAACCTACGAAAACTAACTAGCAATCCAACGCGGTCTCGAATCGCGGAAATGAAATCGTAAATCGCCGGTTGGATGAAACGACAAGATCTAACACTAACTGTTGACTGACTCTATCCTCGCATCTACGACAAGGATTTAGCCCATAACAAACAACAACATGGCCTTGCAGACAGAAAAACAAAGAAATAAAAGATAAGAGAGAAGAGAGAAGAAAAGGAAAGAAAGGAAAATAAAATAGAGAAGAGAAGAAAGAAAGGAGGAATTCATTGCAGCCGTATGAAACCGCTAACCAAGATAAGAAGTCAAACTCAAACGGCAACAATTACGCAGCAAGGATATCTCACCCAAATACCATACTTCTTTCCTTGCTCTCGCCCACTGACCACTAACCACTGCCGTCTGTCGTCTCTCGTCTGCCCTCTGCTCGTCGAAAACAGAACTTGGGGGCCGGGGAGGGAGGAGAAAACGGAAGCGTGTTTAGAAACAGAAACAAACGAACTATCTTTTCCTTCCCCTTTTCATCTTGTTCTCATACACTCACTCACTCGCAGTACATGTGCCAAAAAGAGAGGGAGAAAAAAAAGGAGTGATTTTTTTCCCCGTTAAAGAATGAAAAGCCCTAGCTGCTAGAAAAGAAAACCACTGAAAAGCGAAAAGATCTATCTTGCCCTTCCTTGCCTTGGCCCCCCAAATCGCATATATTTAGACGGTTTTCTTGTTTTCTTTTTCTTTTTCTTTTTTGTTTCCCTATTCTCATTCCCTTTCCTTTTCTCATCTTTTTCTCTTTCTCTGTTCTTCTTTCCTGCTCTTTCTTCGTAAGACCGGGAAAGCAAAGCAAGCAAAGCAAAGCAGGCAGGCAGGCAATACCATATATAAAGGACGTGAATATGCATGCATACCCATTCAATTCCATGTTGATTGGTTGATTGATAATACATATTGTTAGCTAGATCATCCCGTTCCCATCCCACCAACCCCTTTCGTTTCACTTTTTTCGCTTTTTTTTTTTTTTTTTTTAAACCTCTTCCATTTCCTTTCCTGGCCGCTCTATTGATTTCCGCGTTCCCTTTTCCTTTTTCCTTTTTCCTTTTTTTGGATTTTGATTTTGATTTGTTTTGCTCCAAATTCCGCGCGCGCTGCCTTGCCATTTTCATTTTTCATTCATTTTTCATTCAGTTCCACATAGTTTGGCATGAATTTCCCATCCCCATCCCCATAATTTCGTTACTCCTTAGTTATATATACATACTGCTCCTTAGTCCGATATCGATATCTGTCATCTAACCGCGCGTAGCTAGCTACTACTCCCTTTTCTTTTCTACATCTTCCCCCTGGACTAGTTAACAAATAGATAGATAGATATATACCAAAGACAGGAGGAAGGAAGTTCCATATATTGATTGATTGATTGATTGATTGATTGGTTGATATATATCTCATACTAGGTACAATATTATTTGAAAATGTGCCCTACATACTCGTAATCCCGCCCCCTCCCCCAGGTCAGAGGGAGGGAACCCCTGAACCCACCGGCAGGATCGATCCATTCGCATGTATCTTCCTTGCATTGTAGAAAGGAAGGAATTTGGAGATAAATTTATTCTGGACGAAAGGGACAGAAAAGGAGAATCGCGAAAGAGCATACATAGCAAATTCGGACTGACTGGCAGATAGATAGATAGATGGGGCGTAGGGAACGGAGGAATAATATAAACTTTTGCTGCAGTTATGAAGAGGGTGGGCGACCTATATGGTATACTTATTATGATCATTCGAGGAAGTGAAAAGTCAAGAACGGGGTCATAGTTTTTACAGATATTTGATGATTTATATTGACGATGACAGATATTATTATTACTTATTATTGTGGTGGGCCGGACATACACTAGACATATCCAGCACATCATCTCTACGCTGTACACTCACCCTATCTCTCATCATATTTAATTTTCATATTTGTTGAGAATCTAGCTCATTCTAGCTCATTCTAATACTAATTCCAGTTTTTAACCCTCTAATCTACCTCTACACTAAGAAACTGGGTGTTGGAAAGGGGATGGAGAGTGTTAGAATAGATTAGTAATGTGTGTATTATGTGTGAGTGTGTATTTTAGAGCTTTGGCACCACGTTTAAGCGTATGCCCTTTGTGGTTGGGATGAATTACGTATTAATATAGCCAATAGATTAGAGCACCCAGTTAGCAAGAATGTGGAGGGAAGGGTTATCAATGACAAAATAGGAAAACAAAAAAAGAGGATGTAACCACAAACAAAAAGAGAGGAAATTGACTTGGGTATTGGGGTATCATTCACGTCCACCTCGCAAACAGTTTTTTTTGGGGGGTTTTGTTTTGTTTTTTTTTTTCGAGAAAAATAATACAGCAGCAGCGCGCACCAAAAAGAAAACAATATTAACGAAAATAAATAAGGAAATGAGCGACACGTATATCGAGCATGTCTCGTTGAATAAACATTTTCGAAGACCGGAGATTAGAGTGGCGGGTGCGAGCAGTGAGGGGAGGGTTTGCAACCTGCGGTGCGCACGACAATTTTTGACATCATACAGGGGATTTTTCTCGTTTGCTGTTTTTTGGTTCTTTTCTTTCGTTTAAGAAGAAAAACGGAGGGGGAGGGAGCTGCTGGGCTATAGTTCTTTGCCGTGGTTGTTATTGGAGGGGAGGGACTACGATCATCCAACTAGGCAGTTGACACGCCAGGACTAGACAAGTACCGCTGGTCCCACCACTTCTCGATCTCAACGAAGCTCGTCCTGGCGCCTGCACTTCATGCAGCAGCTTGGACGGGCTGTGAAGAAGATGATGTTGGGGCAGTAGCATCTGCCTTCTCCTCGGCCTCAGTGCCGTTCACAGCGGCGGGGGGGTCGGCTGGGGCATCCTTGCTGATTGGCTCAGGTTTCTCAGCAGCCTCTGGAATGGGCTCGGATTCTGAAGTGGCAGCAGCAGGCTCTTTCTCCTTTTTGCCGGCCTTACTGACACGGCGGAAAACTCCTCCGAACATTTGGCCGGGGGACTTCGCCTTGTCCTCCTCAGTAACTTGCTCGCCATCAGTTGTGGACTCCGGCTTCTTCTCTTTCTTGGAGCCAAGGTTTCCGAAGAGGGAGGTGCGACGCTTCTCCTTGACAGCGGGAGGAGTGGTCTCCGCTGCAGCAGGCTCCGCAGGAGTCTCCTCGGGCTTCTTCTCAGCCTTCTCTTCAGGTTTGGCGGCCTCCTTCTTGTCCTGTAAAAAGAAATAACAAGTCAGTTGGAGTTGACGACTAACTTTGGAACGAGACCATGTCATGTGAACTTACGTCGTGCTTCATTTCCTTCTTGATGAAGTTTAGGAAGCCACTCTTGGTGGATGTTGGCGAGGCAACTGGTTCCTCGGCCTCCTTGGCGGGCTGAGCAGGTTCTCCTGCAGCAGTTACGGTCTCAGGCTTGATAGGCTCTGAGGTGGAAGCATCGACGGGGTCACCAAGTTGAGGTGCAGTGCTGGAGACAGCAGTCTCTGAGGTCTTGGGAGCGCTCTCCTTTTCGGCCTTGTCCTGGTTGCCGACCTTCTGGAAGATGTTTCCAAAGATAGAGGCACGCTTGGCCTTGGCGGTGGTAGCTGACTCAGACTTGGCCTCGGGTTTCTTCTCCTCAGCCTTTGGCTCTTCAGCGGCGGCGGCAGGAGCTGGAACAAGTTAGCTCTGTGCTCATAAAGTTATTCCAAATAGTGAAGCTTACCCTCAGCAGACTCAGCAGGAGCAGCGGTCTCAGCAGCCGGGGCCGCAGCCTCTGGCTCATCCTTCTTGTCGTCTTTAGCCTCAGCCTTCTCCTCCTTCTTTTCCTCCTTCTTCTCTTCATCCTTCTTGGCAAGGAAGTTTCCGAAAATGCTGGCGCGCTTCCGGGATTGAGATCGGCTCTTCTCCTTTTGCTCTGACTTTTTCTCCTCCTGCTCTGGCTTCTTCTCGTCCTTTTTGTCCTCTTCCTCCTTCTTCTCTCCCTCTTCTACTTCCTTAGCAGGCTCCTTCTTCGGGGTAGCAGCTGCGAGAGCTGGAGGCTTGGCTAACGTAAACTTTTAGTACGTGATTACCAGCCAAAAGTAATAAGAAAAAGAAAAAAAATTAAAATAGAAAACATCCAAGAGAACATTGGACATCACTTACTCAATTTCTCCAGCTCAGCCTTATAACCCTCGCTAGAAGTGATGGTCTCCTTCTCGTTCTTGGCATCAGCAGCCTTGGCCTCGATGGCAGCAACCCAAGAATCGCGCTCATCACTGCTAGCAGCCTGAAAGGTATGCTTGTGTCCAGCCAATTTGAACTGGAACTCGTTACCAGACTCCTTGGTCACATCCGAGATGTCGGCCAAGTTGATGATTCCAGTGGGGGCAGTCTTGTCCTCGGCACGCTTGGCTAAAAAGAGCAGGCCCTTGCCAGTCTGGCTGGCCCATGCAGCGGTGGGATGTGCAACGCTCAGCTTCTCATTCTGGAAGTAGGTAGAGAGCTGCTTGACCTCAACAGCGTCGTCACTGAACCAGCAGAATCGCTTGGAGAAACGGAAGCCCCTATATCAAGATTACCAAATGTTAGCTTTCCACGATTTTATATTTATAAATGTTGTGCACGCTCAACACCGGTGTGACCTACTTAACTAATCCTGGAGCCTTGTAGCCAAGGACGCCCTCAGAAGCGGGCTTGATCTCAGCCTTGGGTTCTTCCTTGGTTGGTTCTTCAGCAGAAGATGGGGCATCAGCGGCAGGTTCATTTGTAGCTGGGGCAGCAGTCTCTGCGGGGTTTCAGCAGCAGAGGCAGCAGGAAGCGTCCTTGGAGGGTTCGGGTAGGGGGAGTGGCAGTTGGGCCCTCTTTCCCCGGCTTTTTAACTTCCGACATTTTTAATAATGGGGGGTTTGCAAAAAGAAGGGAATGGTGGAGGAGTTATTAGGATTTTGGTAGATAAGGGGGGGGGAGATATTAAAAGAGGGAATATGGTGTCAGGGCCGGCTGCCTCGAAGCAGCTTCGCCTTGAGGGGGATTTCGTTTTTAATTAAGGGGGGTTAATAATAGAAAATCGGTGGCAATCGGTGGCAATATAGCTCGGGGTCGACTTGAAGGAGGTCGCCAGGATTCAAAAGGTGGGGGGGGGGGGGGGGGGTATCTCAGGAAGGAAATAGAAAGAGAAATTGATAGATGATATAGGAGAGAGGACCTCAAGCAGAAGCACAAGCAAAGAGAACGCTGGGTATCACAATATGGAAAGGGAGCTGAACAGCTGGTGGAAGAGATGACACACACAGGGAGAGGAGAGAGAGAGAGAGAGAGAGAGAGAGGAAAAGAAGAGGAAGAAGAAAGAAAGAAAAAGAGCCGAGCAGCTGAAGAAAAAGGGAAAGCGGAAAGGTAACTAAGCGAGAAACCTTGGGTTCAACGTATTAATTGTCCCCGTACTGTACTGTCCCCGTATCATGGCGTACTGCTTGGGGTCTAGGCAGCGGAAAGGGGTGGTCTGCGGCGGTGTCAGGTGTTCCCCTTCGGCCAATTGGCAGCCGTTGAGGGCGCTGTTCTTGCATGGTTGGATGGGATGAAAGGGCGTAATGTACGTGTACCGTACTGTCCCCCAAAACCAACCGCCTATCTTTTGTGGAACCGGGCCAGTCAAACTTACCAAAGTTACAGAGCGTCTGGTTACGGACCCCTCCCTCCCCCGTACAGCCAATTGCCTAGCGGTTTTACCGCTGCCAAACTCCACCTGCAAGCTCCCAAGCTCCCCTGGTATTGTGTGTAAATTACGGGATTACGGGATCACCCTTCCCTTGAATGACGGTTGCTTCCAAGGTTGCTGCTTTTTCCATGCTTTGGAATTGGGGCAAAATATATATATTATTATTAAGTAAAAAGGGTTGGAATAATAACGAAGTTAACTACAACAAGTAAGTAATAACACAACATATAAAATGCTCCAAATATCCCCTCATATTCTCATATTGTTTAACCCGCTCTCCGCCTCTTATCATTATTTAGTCGTTTGTTCGAATCATCGCAATTCATTATCTTATTTACTCTGTCGACTCGACTGTGGATTCCCTGTCGGTCGGTCGGTCGGTCCTCCTCATAAGCTAACAAAGCTAACAAGCTCCAGCTAACAAGCTCACTCCCAAGAGCACGCCCAGTCTTCTTCAAAGCAAAATAATCGGCTGGGACCAGGATGATGAATGGGGCATGCCAGTGGATATATCTGACCTGCCTAACAGTGCTAAGCAGCTCGGCTCCACCGCACTATTTAACCCATTAAAATAAATCCAATCCATGAATCATGATGATATTTTTTTTTTCTTTTTTTTTTTTTTTTTTTTTTTGCCCAACCGCCGTCCCAGCTCCTTTTTTTTTTTTTTTTTTTTTTCCTACTCGCTCACTTGCCAACCGAGTAGTGAGTAGTAGAGGCAGGGAAAAAACGAAGAAGGAGGAAAAAGCAGCGCATTGTCCGCCGCCCCCGTTCGTTCGCCCAGCCATGCTCTGTCAAAGCCTCATGCCAGCCACCTCCTCTCCTGCTCCCAGCCACGAGTAACAAGCAACAGACAGCCGCTGGCCAAACAAGCCTGCCTTGAAGTGAGCGTCCCCTATAACTCGTACGTAAGAAACTGGGAAAGTACAGTAGAGCAGTGGAGCGCCTTCACAGGAACAGGCCAAGGTTGATAAAGAAAAGAGAGCCAAAAAAGAAAGAAACGAATAAGGAAAAGACGAGAAAGGAAAAAAGGTTAGATTTCGGGCTGTTCCTTGGTGAGGATTCGGAGGGATGTCCCCGCCCGAAGCTTCGGAAAACCCAGAATCGCATTTCTCCATCCCATCCCATTCCATTTTTATTTTTATTTTTATTTTTATTTTTGGCTCTTTTTTATTTTATTTTTTAACCTTTTTGCTGCATCTACGCTGTACGCTGTACGCTGTACGCTGTAGAGACCACGCAATCACATGCCTCCCGAATTCCTTCAACTAAATGCTGGAGTCCATGTGTTAATGGATGGAAAATGCGAAGCGATCTTATCCCTCCTAGTAGCAATCATGACATATAACTACTCACCGCAGAATCTTTTGTATTGAAACACCCGAGAATCCCGATCTGCTGCTGCCGCGCCTGAGCACTCGTTCATGCGTACAAGGTACAGGGGGGCGGCGGTTATCCTATTATTACCATCATTATTATTATTCAAAAAAAAAGGGGGGGAGCAGAAGAGGAGGGCGCCCGGTTCTAGTTAAGTCTCAAGAACAAGACCCGAACTCCTTTCAACTAAAAATTTTAGTTCAGCTTAAGGAACAAAGACTCCACAGTAGTAAACGACAAGCAGCAAGTGGCAGTAGCGTGATTGCTAAGAACTTTCTTTTCTTTTCGTTTCTTTTTTTTGGGGGGGGGTCCTGTGGTCGCTAGCGTGTCTATTCCAGCTCAGTATCAACACCCGTTTCTATGGGGGAAAAAAAATCGATAGAGAAATGGCGAGTAGGTATGGCATGAGTACTGAGTACTCCGTACACAGTCTAGACATATGAGTCTTGGGGTGAAAAGAGAGGTGTTCACTCACCAGGTGTTGGGAAGTGTAGGATAAGTTGATCTTACGCAGTCGTAGTATTTCGGCTAGCTTACTAGGTAGGAATCTATATGTGGGGCACGTGATCTAGGGTAGTCATATCAATAATAATAGTGAGCACCAACCAACCAACCAAGCAGCAGCAGAGAGAAAGAAGAGCGGCAGGAAACCTGTGCTGAAAAGATAAGATATACGCTGTAGACGCCCTTGCGCCGGATGTAAGTTACAGTATAACTATCAGCAAATTTCTGAATGATATTCAGCACCTCAACCAATCCATTCTTCTCACAGCTTCCCTTGTGCCTCTCTCTCCCTTGATTGGAGCTGTTTTTCGCTCAACTGCTGTTTGGTTGAACCGCTAGTTCCTCCTCGAGATCGACAAACCCGCAGCAAGCCCTAATCAAAACACACTTCCTAGGTTGTATGCTGTACTCCGTACAGCGTAGGGATGCAACAGTAATCCCCCCATAACATACGGAGTTAACTATCATACCATACAGGGCTACCTACTACTGCCATGTACCCCGTGTGTGTATGAATGACTCGATCTCGTATTTAAAAAAAAAAAAAAAAAAGATTTTTGTCTGGCATGATTTTGAGTTAGACTTTTGGCAGGCAGGCCAGCAGCAGCACAACAGCTTTTTCAGAATCTTCTTGATGAGTGAACACTTGTTGATCAATTCTTCTCATACACACGCCACGGGGAAGAATCTGGGGAAGAATCCCATTTATTTACTGTACATTCACGCATTGCGGGATGAAATCTTATTGGGAAAAAAAAAAAAAAAAAAAAGGGAGGGAAAAGCAAAGCAGGTTGCTTGTTTGAAACTTTGGGGGGTATGAATCATCATATGATGATGCAATTAACTAGTTAGTCAACTAACTATATTAATGCACCAAAATGCGGGGGAGTCAGGGGGAGGATGGTGTGATATCGGCATCCTGGAAGCTTCGGAGGGGGCAGGAAGGGAAGAGAGATCAGGTTTTATCTCCCCCTTTTTTTTTTTTCTTTTGCCTCAGGACGGGGAGGACGGCTCTGCTATTTTGACAAGATGAGATGGATGAAGTTGGTTGAAGCTTCGAATTTGCATATTTGTTCGTTAAGCAGCAGGCATTCATCCTCTTAGAATTATGGTTAAGAGAGGGCAGGGAAATACCTTATGGTAACAGGATTACTCCGTACAGGTTAAAAGGATCCCCCGTACACAGGAGTGTAACCATAATGATACAGACAGAGTCAAGACATCATGCGGGCTTCCTTTCAAAAAGTATGTTTCCCTCCCTCCCGGAGGGCTTCTAGTTATCTCTTCCTCGACCGACCCCGCGCCATCACAGCACATTTGAGGGTACTCTGTACTCTGTACTCCGTCCATATCAAAGAAATCCGCAAAACACAGCATATAAGTTTCATTTTGATACTTACCTCTGAGGAAAAAAAGGTCATGACCGCTTCATTTGCCTTTTCTCCTTTCACACACCCCCTTTCCAAATCCCATTTGCGGAGTGATTAAGATGATATAGCATTTGAACGATTCCTGCCCTACCCCTCCCCTCCTCGCACCCCTCCCCCTCCCTCGTAGGCTGAACTCAATGATTCATCATCTAGCAACCAGCCCAAGCCCGAGCAAAGGCCAAGGTATGCCAGCAGCACCTCGAAACCATGTACGGTACGTTGGGATCGAGGCAAACAGGCAGATTCAATAATTGGCTGTTTACCGTCCCGCCCCCCCACTCGCAACTCCCTCCCTCTCTCGCGCATGAGCGAAGCACGCGATCAGGCTACCTTTTTTTTTAGTATTTAGTAGTGGGAAATCCCTGTATTCGGTTTGGGTGTTCTCTGGGCTCTGACGTGGGGAATCTGATTTTGATCTGATCCCTGCGAGAACGTTGGATGGCTTGGCATCAATTTTTTTATTTTTATTTTTAGTCCATGCATGAAATGAATACCATACGCCGTACGGAGTACATAGGAGACGAGTTTACCTGCCTTGGTTGGGAAGGGGGACGGGGGGATGGCGAGTGAGCGATGACAGCGGAAGGGGGTTGTTAACGATGCAGCCAGGGATGCAACTGGGGTTGACTGGAATGGAATGGAAAAGGGATGGGTTTCTCGGCGCAGGACGGAATAGGAGTAGTCTGGCTGTATCTAGGCATAATAGTACGGAGTAGAGTAGGCATCGATGAGTTGCGTTGAGTTGACATGGTTGGATAGATAATTTGATACAGTTTTGTCCAGTAGAGTACTCTCGTAGTGAGGGGGGCAGGTTTACCCACGTTCTCTGACTTTATTTTTAACCTTCTTCTTTTTTCTTCTTTTTGTGTCGGGTGATTCATACTGGAGATTCTCATCGAGAAGTATGGACCAATAGAAGCGTGTGAATGGATAACAAGCAAGTATTGTACGCATAACCTACATTCTCCTCTTCTCCAATTAGCTTCGTGGCTAGGGAAGAGGGAAATCGCGAAGATTGTTGAATGGATCCTGAAACACGGGAGAATGCAATAAATAAGTCATCTGATTAGGCTAGAGGAAGGGGAGATTTGGAAATAAATAAAACGGGGTTGATATAGGGTTCTAGAGGCGGCGGAAACAGCCTGGGAGAGAACGGCAGAAATCATTGTAAGGGGCTGGCTGGTTAATAAAGAGTTATTAAATAATTAACCCAATAAATAATTCAATCCGTACTACGGAGTAACTTAACTACTCCGTACACTCCTTGCCCTGGTATTTATGCTAAATATCCAATCGTGCTCAGCGTCAAAGGATCACTCACTCCAGGGTTCTCGAAGCTTTTTCCAAAACATTCCAGACACTTTCGATCGGAACTTAACCATACACGCATAAATATTACAGTAATGGAGTACAATACGCAGGGACAACATATGTATGTAATAACTATGATGTATGTAATTTGTTCTATGAGCGCCCTGGTATGGCCCATCTTCATCCTGTAATATACCTCTTCTTGTCCTTTCTATGAAGTAAATGAAACATACTATAAGACGCTTTGTGAGGGTCAAAATGCCTTCTGATAGGATAAGAATTGAACATAAATGTCCTTGACATAAGACTGGACTGTTGTACTCGATTATCACAACGGAGAGTGGAAAGTCTGAGTGACGTTAGGTTGTTTGGAGTTTAGCGCCGCCGAATCCGCCGCGACAGCTCTCGCAATAAATAATCCATCCAACTTTCCAAAACATTCAACAAACTACAAAAAGTCAACTACCCCTCAAACCCTCCCCACCGCCCGCGACCATGATCTCGCCCTGCGACCCGGTCATCCTAAGCAGCAATCCCCAGTTCAAAGCCCTGCACCAACAGCTGACTACCGCCATCCTCAACCCCGATGGCTCCACGCGTGCACATGCTGCGGATCCGTCGCGGAGAGCGGTGCAGGCTGTAAGTCTTATGCTGGCCTGATGAGGACCTTTATTTATTTATTTATTTACTTATATATATATATATATATATATATATATAAGTTAGTATATAGATATCCGTTGATGGTAATGGACTGATTTCGAAAAACAGGATCTCAAAAAATATTTGGCAAGGGCGGTGAAGGCGCGGATTTTGACGAGGATTGTTGCGCAGGTTGCGGCCGGGGATGGGAACGGGGGGTTGGATGATGAGGTGGGTTTTTCCTAAGATAATATATCTTTCTTATATATGAGGTTTATGCTGTTTTTACGATTGCATAGTTATGGAAATGTCGGGATTTACATCGTTGACTGACAAGTTGGGACTATCAAAAGCTCCGAAACCTTGTCTCCGTCATCGTCCTCTACCTTCAACACTCCCCCAATAACAATAATAATAACAGTAATAAAGACAACAACAATAACCAAATATCCCCAGACGAGACCTCGGAACTCCTCTCCCTGCTTGCCCCTGATCTGAAAAAGTTCTACTCTGCAATCCCCTCCCTCATCCCGAGCATCACCGCCCTCCTCTCCGCAGACCTCACCCATCTAAAAGCCCTCGCCAACGCCTCACCCCCAATCAACACCACAAACAACAGCAGCGGCAGCGGCAACAACAACAATGACAGACACACTCACCACACGACCATTTCCTCCCGCTCAGCAATCAACAGGAGCAACAATACCCAATCGCGCCCCAGCAACCGCCTCCGGCCCCTCTCCCTCAAACCTTCCCCAGCAGACATCTCCCTCCCAACCCAGCTATCCGGTCGCCTACGCACACTCCGTACAATCCAATCGCACGACCTCCCCACTACCCGGACCAAGATGACCATCACCGCCGCCGCTGTGCTAGCAGCGCATGCGCAGGTGATGGAGCGCGTGATACATATTCTTGAGCGGACGAAGCATGGGGTTCTGGCGCGCGGGGTTAGAGCGAGGGCGGACCATGTGGCGGTGGTGTTGGAGGGGGTTGAAGGGAAGGTTTGGTATGTTACTTTGTTTATTTTTTTTTATTTTTTTATTTTTTTATCTTTATTTTTTTTTTTTTTTTTTTTTGAGTAACCGCAACATGTTAAGGTGATGAGGTGGAAAAACTAATATTACTGATTACTGTATAGTATCATGAGACACGAAGTGCTCTCTGCAATCTACACGCCGGAAACAACAGCTGCTCTGACGCATTACCGCGACCATCTATATGATACACGTCTACGCTTGGAGGAGAGGAGGAAACAGGCCCTGTTAGAGCTAGAGGCTTATGAGCGGGCGGATATGGGGGAGACGGGAAAACGAGCGGCTGGCGGCGATAATGGTGAGGATGGTTCAGGGAAATCGGGGGCCATGGTGGAGATTGCCAGGAGGTATGGAACACTGGTCAAGGAGGTTGAGGGTGTGAAGATGGAGATTAGGAGGTTAGGGGGTTGATTAGGAGAAGCCATTTTCTTTTTTAAGGTTGGAGTTGCGGCAATGAAGCATGCATGCATCATTGCGGAGCGGAGCGTTTGGTCCGTCTCTCTATTATTGGTGTCATGAGAGGACTATGACTATATACCCCCTTCTTGTCATAGTGTTTTTCTTTTTAAATGTTTGGCCAAATATTTCAAGAGACCGATTCTTCCTTTTTTTGAGCATATAAACAAGGCGGGGATTTTGACTCCGCTCACCGCCCACCTTCCGTGGCAGAAAATATTTCTTGGCAACGGCAAAATAAAATCTTGGACCAGATTATAATTAAACATCGGCAATATCTGACTATCACCCTGGCTATTCTTCCATCTCAGCAATGAACAGCCTATATCTACACATTTAACGCCCCAAAACATACTTCTATCTGACCTTCCTTTCCGCCAACATACAAAATACCGCGCAGACGCAACCGAAAAAGCTCCGAATACCCACACATCACCCCCATCCCTCACCCCTCCTCAACCCAACCCCGCCCACCCCTTCTAACCAACCAAGTTCAACCACAAACAACACGATCAAACAGTCTTCAAGTCCAACACCGCATAAACCCCCCAAACAACAGCCATGGCAAACACCGACGACCTCTCAATCTACGACGAGATCGAGATCGAAGACATGACCTACGACCCCACGCTCCAGATCTACCACTACCCGTGTCCCTGCGGCGACCGGTTCGAGATCGGCATCGCTGACCTGCGTGATGGCGAGGAGATTGCCGTGTGTCCCAGTTGTAGTTTGATGGTGAGGGTTATTTTTGATATGGTAAGTTTTATTAAGCTAGAGAGGGGGAAGGAAAATGGGGAAGAAAGGTGGGGCGGGGGCTGTGAAAATGAGGGCAGGAATTTTATTTTTATTTTTATTTTTTATTTTTTTTAATCTTTTTTGAATGGTTGGCTAACGAGGTATTCTTTGGAAATGGAATAGGATGATCTGCCTAAAGAAGGCAACGCAAGCGCTGGCGCTGTTGAGATTACTGCGTAAAGCGTAACAATATAATAATAATAATAATAAGAATAATGACAAGACGGCGGAATCAATCTCGCCATATGCCTCCCCTTAGGCTTATCGGGATACAAGAACGCAGCAAGGCATTTATAATAAACCCATTTCCAGCCAGAAAATCACGACAAGAAAAGGTCCGAGAGGGAGGAAATATATGAAATGGGGATGATAGCCGATCAAGAAGGCTGGAAATAGAGAGAGATAGATATATGATAGGGGTTCACGAGGGGATCCGCATATGCATGTGAACGTACATGGCCCTGTCTGTTCCTTCTGGCCTTTGTGCAAGGGAAGAGGAGGTATGTCGCTCGGGATATCTTCAGAACTTAAAGCCCGATACGGCCTACCCAATCCATCCCAATCCCAATCCCAATCCCAATCCCAATCTCGTCCTAGGATTATCACACAAATAGAATGCTTGTCCGAGGGATCAAAAAAATGATCCCGGGTTGAAGATTCTCGACTTAGGGGTGTGGGATGTGCAAAATTTTATTCTGCCTGCGCTGGTTATACTGCAGCAAGTCAAGATATATATATATATATATGTGGGATACTCCGCGCTTCCAACCATCATACAGACACCTAGCTACGTTCGTGTCTAGACCAACGGCTGCGAGGGGGGAAGAGAATATGGATGCGGCATGGAAAGGAAAATAGAAGCGAGGCCATGTGTGGTTGACTCCGTGAAAGATGTGGATACCATTGTCGTTACCCATTTTTTTTTTCTTTTCTTTTTTTGGGATACGGTTGATCAAATTTTCTTCAGATTCAATGTCAATTTCTCACTTTGAAATACCCTATACGGAAATATCTGTTTTTCTCTATGCAATATATAAATAATACAACAAAAGCAATTCAGAATGCAGGAAATAGCGCACAGCATGCGAAATATCGTCGATATGGATGGCGCTCTCGATTTCGATCTCGATCTCGATCTCCATCGCCTCCATGCTCCATTGTTCCATTCATGGCTTAAAAACATAAAGTATGTACATACAGTGACAGCGTAATAACATCAACTACAACCAGTAACTAACCAACGAGCCCTCCCCTCCCCGGGCAAGAACCCCAGGGCTCTCTGTCTAAATCTCCCTTTCTCCATACACATCATACTCCATGCTCAAGCCCAGCTCTTTATTCAGCAGGGTGGTCAAATTCGAGCCGTCGCGTAGATATATCCACTGGCCCTTGATGAACTCGCGCGTGCCTTCCTTCTCATCCATGTGGTCCCCCTGGACTACCCAGTCGTAACGTTTGGGCCCTGAGACGGGCGAGCTGAGCCATATTTGTTTGTTGGGTGGTTGTTTGTTGAGCACGTAGACGCCGACGTCTGGGACGGTTATGTTGATTACGCCGGCCTGGATGGATTGGGGATGGTGGTCAGTAAATAAGAGATCGGGTGACGAAGGGAGGAGGAGGAGAGGAGTGGAGAGGGAGGGAATGGCATATGGCATGAATGGTATATTATATCCCACAACGAAGATAACACTAGATTAGGGTTCTACAGGACAAAGGGATATAGAGAGATATATACATGCATATATATATAGATGTATAAAATAAATGAAATAATACATACACTATACTCCGCCTCAATATCCGACCCATTCTCTTGCAATTGCTCCACCTTCGTCAGGAGGACGTTAAAATACTCCTCCGCATATTCGCGATACTGCTCCTCCGCCAATGGCGTTGGGTGCGTCACATGGTTCGCTCCGCCGGCGATATTCGAGCTTGACGGCTCGGGATTGGGCGGAGCGGGGTCAGCGGAATGGGGTGTTATGCCCTTGCGAAGTGCAGGCGTGTTGTGTAGCTGGCGATAGTAGACTTTCACTGAGGTTTCGCATCGCAGATTTCTAGGGTTTGAAGAAGGTGATTGGGTGCGGAGAGCGGTGGAGGCTATGATAGTGGGCAGGAGAGTGGTGGTGGTCGTTGGTGAGCGGAGAAGAGAGCTAGCAGCCCGGGAGCTTGTTCGAGAGAGCATGGCGAGTGGAGAGATGGAGAGATGGAGACGGCAATGGAAGGGAATTGGAGTATGTTGCGTGTGTGTTATATATAGTAAACCCTTGCTAAGGTGAGGGAATAGTGGATATGGGAATTGTGAGGTGGTGTGAGAGAGAGTGTGTGTGTGTGAGTTGAGAGAGAGAGTTGAGTGAGAGCGCAAGTGGTCTGATAAATATGCGGCGGAGTGGTGTGATGTTGACAATGCCGAATCCTGACGCCACAACCGTAGGTCATAAATACAACAGGACAATCACCAACCGTCTCTATTATTCATCGCCTTTTGAAATTACCACAGGCTGAATATCTGTGTTTGTTTAAAACATATATATGGGTTTTAAATAAATAGCCAAATCTTCAATTCCTCATTCTTATGGCATTCCTGGTACAATAGTTCCCACCCGTTACATGAGCACTGAGTTGAGATCTTAAACCAGGACAAGTTCCATATAAACTCGCGAGGAATATATATATATGTACATATGTATATCTGCTTGAACGTGCTCCCTGCCTCTTTTGCGTTGCTATTTCTTCTGAATATTATCCTTGGAAGCCGCCCGATAGAACTTAAACACCCCATTCGTGGACATCCAGAGCTTGCCTTTACACTGCGCCTTCATGTATAGACTCGTTCGCCCGATCTATGCATATGAGCAGACTCTACTTATCTGCCAACTTTAAGAATACCTTGCACACTCCCTCCAGTCCCGCCAGCCGCTGTTTCGTCTTCCATTCCCACAGCATAACAATGACCTCCACAAACACGAACACGCAGTGCGGGGCCAGGCCATCACAGCAGAACCAAAACACCGCTGGCAAGCGCGGTGGCAGCAAGCCACGGCTAACCCATTTCCTCTGCCTGCCCTTGGTAAACTCAACCTCTATTCCACAGCTAGTATCCTCCCTATCAGAATTTCGAGATTCCATCCCACTCGTACCCCCACCTGTCTCCGCCCGAGTAGCAGCTTCGGCACAGCTCCCTGACACACCCCTTTTCCCTGATGGAGCACTGAGACCGCTGGGCACTCTGCATCTGACTCTTGGGGTCATGAGTCTGCCTACTAAGGAGCGTCTAGAGGAAGCGCTGGCGTTTCTTCAGTCCTTGGACCTTGAGTCGATGTTGCGAGAAGCAGAGATCCAGGCGAGGGCTGCAGCAACGAGAGAGGACAGTATATCGAATAATACTCCTGCTGTTGGTTCAGCACCGCAACCGCTTTTTATTAATCTAATATCTCTACATGCCCTTCCCAAGGCCAAAGCTGCCACCATTCTTCACGCCAAGCCCGTTGACAGCACGTCTCGTCTGTACCCATTATGCGTCAGTTTGCGGAATAAGTTTATTGAGGCGGGTTTTATACAGCAGGAGACGATCAAGCGCTCTCCTAGATCCAAGAACAAAGCCAGTGAGCTCACCGGTAAGGACAATGCGGGTGGCGGATCGGATTCTCAGGGTTCCACGGGAGACCATGGGGGCAATAATGATAATAGCGGTAATGTCGGCGCAGCCTCGTTGCCAATTCAAGGAGAAGCAACAGCAGCATCGTCGGATGGAAAACGGGTAAAACCACGTCCGCTCCTTCTGCACGCCACGATTGCAAATACGGTCTATCTACCCCGGCGCAAGCAGCGAGGTGCGAAACGCAAGGAAACGCTCAAGTTCGACGCACGGCCGCTTCTGGTGAAATTTGGCGATTATGTACCCCCGACTGTAGATGTAGATGTCAGTGATCATGAGCCTGCAGAAAGTCAGAGCTGGAACTTATCGTTAGAGGTTGAAGAGGTTGAGGAGAAGGAAAAGAAAGAGGAGGGGGAAGGGGAAGTAGAGGTAAAAGAGAAAGATGTACAGGTGCAGAAAGAGAGAAAAGCGCCTTTTGTCTGGGCGAAGGATATTCCCATTGATCGTGTTTGTATCTGCGAGATGGGCGCGAAGCCGGTGCCTGATGATGGTGCGAATGGTGGGCCATTGTTGGGGGAGGCCTATGTCAGTGTCGGGGAGAGAAGTTTGGTATTTGCGCCGCAGATGAGGGGAGATGGAGATGGAGATGGCGACGGAGATAATGGAGACGCGTGCCGATCGGAGGATGGGGGTGTTAGTTTAGCTTAGCCGGTGTGGTTCTGGTTCTACGGGATGATATGTGGTGGGAATATTCCAAAGGCTTTGTGAAAAAGTTAGATGTCCGTATATGTAGAGGAGCAGGGCTGAGTTGGAATACCTGAGTATCAGCCAGAATATATATGTATGAATCAATTGTTTATAAATGGCTACAAAACATTGTCAATAAAAAGCAACCTAGAGCGCCTATTCCAATCCGTTGGTATACCGTAAGATAGCTTTAGAAGACACAAAATGCGAAAGAAAAGAAGGGAAAAAAGATTCCACGGAATTTATACACCGTGCAACGGAATAGGGCCACCATTTTGCCCCTTTGAAAGGATAACAAGAAGTAAAAAGAATAAAAATGATAAATGATAAAAGCAATAAAAATGGGCAGTCTTTCCCAGCAGTGGACACAAAAAAAGATCATCGTACTTTGCCCATAATCGTTTCCACCCCGCGCTCCACAAATAATTCCGCAGCCTTAGCCTTCACAGCACTGACCATAGACCTCTCAAAATCATCTCGACTTCTTAACACCGCTTCAACCCACGACAGCTGCAAGTCCCAATATTCAGTCTTAAAAGTCTCATAGACCGCGACAACGCCTGCCGCCTTCTCCGCCTCCAGGAGCCTAACAAGCCAATCGACTACCCGCCACCGATCCTTAATTGTAGCAGCAAACGCATCCGGGAATTTCTGGAAGAACGCAAAGACGGTCAAGATGTCGTCTTTAAACTTATCCGTGAAGGGGTCTTGGCGGCGGAACTTGGCTCCCTTGTTGCGGATGGCTGACAGGTAGCGCACCAGCAGCTCATCGGAGAGTTCCTCAATGAGAATATCCGTGAGACTCGGGTGCAGCACGGTGCTATAGTCGGACATGTAGTCTTCAAAAGTAGAGGTCATGCGCTTGATAGCAAACTCGCCGTACCATTTCTGCGTGAAGAAGTCGGGTAGCGTGGTGCGGAAGTCGACGGTGAATATGAGCTCGATGAAGAGCGTTATGCAATGAGTGCTGAGGTCGACATAGCCATCGCGCAGGCTGTCGAGCTCCATGGCCGCGCGGGATGTGAGGTACTTTGGTGTGACGAGCGGTTCGAAGTCGCGACCGAAGCGTGTTAGATAGCCCAGTTGACCCGAGGCTTCGTCATTGTCGTCGATGCAGGCAATTTGGTCGTTGGCAACTGCGATGAGCCAGTCTTGAAGTTGCTGTAGACCTTCGGACTGGTCTGTACTGGGATTTTTGTACCGTGCGCATTCTTCGTCAAGGACGGTTTGCCAGGTTGTTTGCCGAGTTTTCAGAGCGCGGAACATGGCATCTATTACTCCCTCCGTCACATCTGTTCGATCAGAATAGCTCGCAGCCATAAGTTGCTCGTGAATCATGCGCCACATATCTCCGAGGGTCTTGGTACGGAAGTATCCGTCTGGATTGGTATCCAACGCGGCGGTATCTCGCTCAAGGAAGGATTTCTTGTCAGTCACAAACATTCGATCCATCCATTCGTCCAAAGTTTTGATGATGAGGTTCCGCCAATCTCGGACAAGTTCGCCCTCACGGTCATCAAGGACGTTGGGAACAAGGTCCGATTGTTTCCAACCGAGCTTTGCCATTTTCTTATAGTACTTCTCAGACCAGTGTATGATGGCGAGCATATTCGCCGTGGGGAGTTCAGGATCATCAACGAACTTGAGGAGCCAATCATGCATCATGCGGTGATAGATATTTGTGTAGACTTTGTATATCTTCCACTTCTTCGGCATAAGAGACTGCATGCCCTCCTTCACGGTAAATAAATCATTAAAAAACCACTTAAAGCTCTTCTCTAGCTTCTCTGGATCATCTAGGAAAGTCTCCTTGGACTTCTCAAACTGATTCTGCGCATAAAGTTCGATACTCTTGAGGAAGTTCTCTTTATAGCCCCTGACGGTCTTGGGACCAATATTCATTGACTTGAACCGGCTAGCTAGAGCCTTGTGGTCCTTTTGAGCTTCCTGCAAAGCACGAACCTTGGCGTCGTTTTTCTCCTCGGTCATAACAACCAGGGCCAGCCGGACTACCATACTCCGGTTCTCCGTCTGTACCAGTGGGATGAGGTTCATAATGGCAGTTCCAATGTGGTCATCGAACCATTCTATCACAGAATCAAGGCCCTGAAACCATTCAATTAAAGTCGTTTCGTTGCTCCTATCCCCCGCTTTTCGTATCTGATCCATAGCTTCATCTCTGAAATCCCTCAACCTGGTGATAGCCATATGAGCACGGAGCAAATTCGGCTGATTTTCAAGGTCTTGGTCATCTTCTCTTAATAGACGTTCGACTTCGGAGAGATCGTTATGGAAGCTCTCCAGGCCCTTCTTCATCATTATCGTCGCTTCAAAATTCCGCTGTATCCTTGCCAACTTGTCGATTTGCGAGAAATCCCCAACGGTACCTTGAGACTCCGCACATAATTTATCTATGCCCTGTAGTTCGTCCCTGGTTTTCAAAACATGCCGTTGGCCCTCGGTCAGCTGGCTTATGCTTCGTTGCACGGTTTCAAGTTGATCCCTTAATCCTTCCCGAAGCTGTGCATCCACAGCCGCCTTTTTAAGTGAATATTCAGCCTTCAATGCCGGAATTTTATCTAGATCTTCCGGATGGCGTAGTAAATCCTCTAGGCGGGGCATAGCAACCCCGCTGTCCATATTACTGTCATCTGCGATTGCTTTCGCTTTCTGAGGCGCCATGTTGGGATTATTGGGCAGGTGTTGCGTTGGACCGAGAGTTGGGGGTTTGTCCGGTGCACTAAGCACCGCAGAGGAAACAGGTTCAAGATTTGGAGGTAATAAGGCAGGTGTATATGGCTTTGAATTGGTTATAGGTTTGGTGTCTGTAAGGAATGGCGCATTTGCGAATGCAAGGACGGAGGAAACAAAGCTGGAGCCCGAGGCCTCAGTTGTGGGGGGTGGTTCACAGGGTGGACTCGGTCGACGTTTCGCAGTCGAAATGGTAGCAAATCGTGACAGCGTAGATCTCGGTAGAGAGGAGTATGGAGTGTGAACTGGCAATGTAGTGGAGGAGGTTGCGGCTTGGTTAGTTATAGCAACAACGGATGTAAGAATAGCAGGTTGGTTAGGCCCAGTATCAGGGGTCAACGACTGCGGCGGCGGCGGCGGCGGAGTTTTAGGATCAATCGACGAGGCATTGGGCAATAATATATCCTCCACCTCAGCATCGGCGTTACTCGTCAAAGAAGTTTCATTCCGAGCCACCGCATCCCGCAGCTTCTCACGGTCCCTTTTAGCCCGGATCGTCGTCTCTTTGCTCTCACTGCGGTTGATAAGTTGCTCGATGGCGGCGGCTCGCTGCGCCACAGAAAGCGTGGCGTCGGGGCACATACTCGCCCGGAAAAACTTACTGGATGTGGACGAGTCACCAGCCACACTCGGCTGCCCGATTTGGCGGGTCGACATTGGCTCGGGATTATCGATTATCCGACACTGTCTTCGCTGGAAATATTTCTTCTGGCTTGCAACGACAGCGTTGATATCGATACTAGCAATTCAATTGGCAAGAAAGGGGACTGCCATTTATATCAGATCAATTCGGCTTGGGAATTGCAAAACTCACGAGAAGGAAATCCCCAATTTTACTTGAACCATCGCAGCAGGAGCTGTGTTGTTGAACGGAACTTGGGTTTGGATAACGTCTATCTGAGGTCGCTCAGGTGGATTTATCAGCGCAAGATAGTGAATAGCGGAGCACTTGGAATCGCGATTGTGCTATACCTATGGAACAAAGGCCTTAGTGTTCGGCAAAACTTGAGAGCAGAAAGAAGCGGAATCCCTGTGAAACGAAGAAGAACCAACTGCGTTCTCCGGGGCGTAGCTGAGCGTAAGCGATTTGCTCCAACTCGAGGAAGAAGGTTGCAGCTACGCAGTCTGTGTTGCGTTAAAAAGGAGAAGTTGCAGGACAAAGAGCAGTGTTCGAGGGAAAATAGGAAAATAACGGAGGCCAACAGAAGAACGACAAAACAACCCGCCTATTTATTTACCTCCCCGCCCGCGTCCTCCACCGGAAACTGAGCAGTTTAACCGTTGCTACGTGACAGACCTACGACCACGAGTCACACAAAATAACATATATACACACAAGCACACACTCTGCTTCCCCTCGCGGCGCGCTCTCTCTCAAACAATTTAATCCCTCCCCACCCCCAATCCTCGGGCACCCCCCACCAGTACAAAGCAAAAATGACCTACTTCCGCATAACCCTCATCCGCTCCGCCATCGGCCTACCGCGGCGAACAACAGGCGTCCTCATGGCCCTGGGCCTCAAGAAGCGTATGCAAACCGTCTTCTACCCCGTATCGCCCGATGTGGCCGGGCAGATCATGAAAGTGAAAGAGCTGGTGGCAGTGCGGGAGGTCGAGCGGCCGCTGACGAAGCTAGAGGTGCATTTGGAGCGGAAACCTGACCCGGGGTATTACGTTGAGAAGAGAGCGGATGAGGTTTTTAGGGCGAAGAGGGAGGCGTGATGATCTGGGGGGATGGTTTTATCACTTAGTTTATTTGGGTTTTATATGTATATATAGATTTTGTTTGTTATAATGGGGTTGGTTGGCTTGGGCTGGAGGAACGGGGCATACGGCCTTGCGAGCGAGTCCAACTACAGCCCCTTATGTTTTTTTTTTTTTTTTTTTATATCAACCCCGTGGCCGGGAGCTGCATTGCGTGTCCGTTTCTTCGCAATCATCACATCACCACCAACCATCCATAGCACGCCCTGATCAATCTAGCAGAAGTAGATTGGGCTATTCCTCCCCTCCTCCCCCTTCTTTTGCGACATGGACCAACACCGATACACATAAATATCCACAAACTACCTTGGTAACATGGATAAACAGATCGGTCCGTTTCGAACGTGCCTTACCCGACCTCTCGACGATCTTATCAATCAAGAACTCCTCGACCACTTTCCGCCCGAGCTCCCCGCATACTTACACTGTACAGTACAATGAAGTTTTGTATATTATTCAGCCAGAAACCACCCACCCCACCCCCTTTCCTATTACTTAACTTAATTCAAAGATATAAGAATTGTTTCATTATTGTTGCCATTGACCACTATCATTTTCTAGACATGTGCAACCCATATTCATTCCACCTCCCCCGTTTGAAAAGAACTGCCTGCCTAACTTTTAAACCTACCTACCACCTTGATCAGAGAGAAGAGAACTATCCTAGTAAAATCTATATTGAAACAAGTGAACAGGTATAAACAAACAGGACACAAAATACTCCGTAGGATATATAGAAACGTCCAAGGACACATTAGCCCCTCCCTTCAATGTATTTACAGACATGCGGCCAGGAACAAAAAGAAAGGGAAAGGAAAGGAAAGGAAAGAAAAAGAAAAAGAAAAAGAAAAAAAGAAACAGGAAGGATTACATATAGTATATGCACAGGTCCATTCAAGCAAAAAAAGAAAAGGAAAAAGGACAAGTAGAATAACGAAGATAACGCCAGCTTGTCAAACAGAACCAGCAATGCATTCCCCACCCCCGGCCTCCCCTCTTTTGACACCGGACACATCGCACCTCACCTATTGTTCCCCCCCCACCCCCCCCCCCCACTATTTCTTCAAGAATCAAGCAAGATACAACGTATCCCAAAACCCCTCCGCAAGCCTACTCACAATGCTCTTATCAGGATACTCCCCGCAACCCCATACAACGCCGCCGCATCCCCTTTCCCCTTCTCAACCTTAAGCCCCAACCGCTTCCGCTCCGCCGCCTTCTCCCTCTCCTGCTCCACAACAGCAACAAGGTCCGCAATAAGCTTCTCCACCGCCCCAGCCGTGGGCACCGTGAACGCCACGTGGATCGCAGGCGGGGCCTGGAGGGCATTCAGATGCCAGCCCTTGGCCGACAGCGCGTCGGCAATGTCGTAGATGTCGATTTCCGGCGTCGCGGAGTCCCAGGCCACGACGCTGACCATTGGTTTGCCGAGCACTTTTAGCGCGCTGGAGAGGGTTGGATGTTCGCGGATGGCCTGCTCGAAGGTGCGGGCTGCGGTGATGATCTGGTGGCAGCTGTCGATGTATCCGGACTCGCCCATGGCCATGAGACTGGTCCAGCAGCCGGCAATGAGGGAGCCGGGTCGCGAGCCGGCTATGGAAGGGGACGCATAGACGCCGCCTGACCAGTTGGGGAGGATGAAGTATTGGTAGCTGCGTAGGGTGCGGTTGCGGTAGAGGACGACGGAGTTGCCCTTGGGGGCGAAGCCATATTTGTGCGTGTCGACGCTGATGCTGGTGACGCCTGGCAGGCGGAAGTCGAAGCCGCCCTGTTCCTCATACGGGGAAGGGTAGCCGGCGCGTTTAAGGAAGGAGATGACGAAGGAACCCAGGCAGCAGTCGACGTGCAGGGGGATTTTGTGCTTGACGGCTAGGCGGGAGAGGGCCGGGATGTCGTCAACGATGCCATGTGGGTAGTTTGGCGCTGAGCCGACAAGGAGAATTGTGTTTGGGTTGATCAGGCGGCGGACGGCGCGAATGTCAGCCTTGTAGTCGGGAGCGGGACAGGGGACCATATGAAGCTTGATGCCGAAATATTGACAAGCTTTATTGAAAGCTGCATGAGCGGTCTGGGGGATGATCCTAGAATAAATTTAGTTTTTCTGAACAGAAAAAGCGGCCGGCCGAATTGATCTTTAAGGGGGGGAATTTGGGGAAGCTTACATCTCTGGTTCAGTAACTCGTCGCTCAACGTAGGCTTTCTGCCTCGCAGACAAACAGGCCATGAGAATCGACTCAGTGCCGCCGCCAGTAGTCACTCCTGCACCATCTTCTGGTGCATTGAACAGCCCAAGCACCTACGCGGGGATACATTAATGCATGAGATGAGAATGAGGCGGGATAAGAAGCTCTCCCCTAAAAAAAAGAAAAGAAAAGAAAAGAAAAGAAAACACACCATAGCCACCACCTCCGCCTCCATCTTCCTCACACCAGGAAAGACATCAGGATGGATAGGATTCGAAACAGCAAACTGGTTGAAAGCAGTCGTCTGCAACCCAATCAAGTCGTCGCCGCCATGGTAAACAGCGCCGCTGACTCTGCCTTCCTGCCACTTGGTATGCTTCATACCCAGGAGCTTATCTAGCTCCGCGCGAATGTAATCGGGGGTCCAACCCTGTTTGGGCAGGTTTGTGTTTTTGAGGATGCCGGGCGTAGTTGGGGCAAGCTTTGCTTCCAGCTTCGTTATGGCGGTGGACACTTGCTTGTCCACCTTGCTGCGGACACCGGGGGCGCGGAGGAAGAGGGAGTAGAGAACGAGGCGGATGTAGGAGCAGGCATTGCGGATGGTACCTATGGGGCCGTGGCCACGGACGGTATAGAAGGATTTCCGGACGAAGCGGAAGACGTAGAAGAAGAAGACGATATTGCGGAGTCTAGTGGGAGGTGGTGTTTCTTTTAGTCCTGGAGTTGAAGGAACCGTTTATGGGGATATATAGATTGTATAACTACACATACAGATTGAAGGTTGATGAAGAAAAGATGCGCGAGGAGGATCTACTGGCGGACACGAGTTTGTTCTGCAAGGCGACAGGAAGTACTGCAGAGGAAGTCATAGTGGACATGATAACCGGGATGAGGAATGGTACCTCGGAATGGGAGCCTCACTCTCTTGAGCAGATGTATATATATAATTACTGTAACATAAAGCGAAGAGAAGAGAAAGAGAAGATGAGAGAAGAAGTTCGTTGGGGGGGGGGGGGGAGAAAGGGGGGGGGAATAGTGAATCACCAGTAGTAGGAGTAAACTTGGAGCAGCAACAACACTCTGGCGATGATGATAAATATTACTGTATGTGGAAATGCTTGAAGCTATCCAAGGTTTGCCGAGTTTGCTGGTGGGGAAGCTGCTGGCACATGCAGAAGATACACGGGAGGTACTTCCGCCGCCAGCTGTAGGATGCTGGGGAAAGAGGTATCCGCCTGGTAACTAGTTACCAGACACATTACGTCGACTGTGGAAATGCCGGCGTTTTCTTGTTTCGGTCGGCCTACATTTGGCCAATCAGAGACCAGGAAATGCTCGGTCGGCACGGCATGTGAGGGTAAGATTACACGCATTACGGTACGGTAAACAACGATGCTGTAGAAATCACATTATTATATTACGAATGCTGCTGGAAAACAGACATATAAAAGCCATTACATATATATATACATATACATATACACGTACATACAATATATATATATACAGAATTGCAATGATATTGTATACCTGCCGTCCCACGACTTCAAAAGCTTCAAAACAAAAACCTGTACTTTAGAATAAGTTACTACCCGCATTCGTATTCGCACTCGCATCCGGGCTCCAATTCTCTGCGAGAATCTGCTCCTTCAGAACCTCGCAAGGTAGCATAGCATAGCATAGCATAGCATAGCAGATAGCATGCATGCATTGACGCAAGGCAGGAATCAGGAATATGCGCAGGCTAGCCCGGTTTGTCTCTGGGGTTGAGGTCGATGGGGGATTTGAGACAGACAATATGCCGAGCAATTCGCCCTACACCCCGGTTTCTATAGGGGTCCAGCGGCCGCATTAACGCCAAGGGGAGAATAAGAAGAGAAAAAAGGGACAGGGAAGGAGAAGTTAATTCTAATGTAGCAGGAAGCATTGAAATAAAACCATTTTATAAAAAAAGAATTGCTAGTAGATAGTCACGATGAACACATACACACACACACACACACAAAAGGGAAACTTTAAGAAAAAACGTACAAGTACATCGTTACGCAATAAAAAAAAGGCTTAGCAGGGTACACACAATAATGATGATAATAATAATAAAACAACGACAGACAAAAAACAAAACCAAAATAAAAGAGAGAAACAGTTAAGGGGAGTTGCTGGCCAGTAGAGACACGCCAAGGAAGAATACAAAATCTAGTTTCTAATCTTAACATTTTCTTTTCCTCAATAGAGCCGACTGCTTTTGGGAAGGGAGAGGGAGGACAGTGTTTAGGTCAAAGACGCTCTTGTTCTTTTTTTCTTCTTCTTTCTTTTTTTATCCGGTGACTTTGTAGATGGACTCAGCCAGTCTCTTGACGTTGGCGGTGGTGATACCGGCAACGGAGATGCGGCCGTCCTTGGTGGCATAGACGGAGTGCTAGAGAAGGAGAAAACAGCATGTGTTAGTTGTGGTTCCCTGAGGAAGAAGAAGAAAAAATGGGAGAGAGAGAGTTCTGGTGTTAAAGAAAAGAGAGAAAGAGAAACTGTGACATGTTTATGACATGTATTAGAACGTACCTCCTTAGCAAGTTTGTCCATCTGCTCAGGTTTCAAGCCAGTATATGCGAACATTCCGATCTATATCATTAACAAAAGAGTATCATCGTTAGCCTTCAATCGTAGTTGCACGCATATTACAACAGACAAACAACAACATATGGAAAAAATAAGAAAAACAAATAACATACCTGGCTGGTAATATGGCTCCAATCATGCTTACTCCCCAGCGCCTCCAGATTCTCCTTGAGGAGCGCACGCATCTTGATAATGCGGTCAGCCATGCCCTTCACCTCGCCAAGCCACTGCTGGTTGAGGGCTGGGTCGTTGAGGATCGTCGAGGCGATGCGGGCACCGTGGATGGGTGGGTTGGAGTACAGGGGCCGGACGAGGATCTTGATCTGCGAATCAACGCGCTTCTTCTCCTCGGCAGACTCGCAGACGACGGAGAATGTGCCGACACGCTCGCCATACAGACCCTAGAAGGTAGAGGAAATTAGTATGAGCAACGGGTAGAACTTCTCCGCCAGTATTTCCCCAGCAGAGGTAGGGGATTATCCGTTGGCCCCTAGCCTTCTCCCCCCTTCATCCCCCTTCTCTCTATGTCCCTGTTGGGTTCCTGAATTCCGAGTCTTACCATATTCTTGGCAAAGCTCTGGCACAGCACAACCCCATGCCCCTCCTCCAGGAAATGGCGCAGCGCAAACGCATCGCGGTCCGTATCTCCACTCGCGAAGCCCTGATAGGCCATGTCAAAGAACGCAAAATGCCCCTTGGCCTTCATCACATCGCTAATCTGGCGCCACTGGGCCTGTGTCGGGTCAATGCCCGTCGGGTTATGCGCGCACGCATGCAGGAGGAAGACACTGTTGCTAGGCGCCGCCTGGATATCGGCAATCATGCCCTCGAAGTCGAGGCCGATGGTGTCCTTGTTGTAGTAGCGGTACTTCTCGACCTGGAGGCCGGCATCTTTGAAGACGGCGGCGTGGTTGGCCCAGCTTGGGGTGGGGATGTGGATTTTCTTGCCGTGCGGGTAGAAGCGCTCGATGAAGGCAGCGCCTATCCGTAGGGCACCGGTGCCGGAGATGGTCTGGGTGATGGCGATGCGGTCTTCTTTGATGGCGGGGCTGGAGGCGCCGAAGGCGAGGGAGGCGGCGGCTTTGGTGAAGGTGGGCACACCGGTAATGCCGGCGTACTCTTTGTCAGGGTTCGAGTTGAGGACTTTTTCTTCCGCGGCGCGGACGGAGGGGAGGACGTAGGGCTTTCCCTGGTCATCGCCTACAATGTGTTTTTAGCCAAATAGCCTCGATGATTAATAAAAGTAGATATATGGAAGATCGCGGAAAGAAGAGATATACTGTAATACGTACGGTAAGCTCCGACACCAAGGTTGATCTTGTCCTTGAATGAGTCCGCCTTGAAGGCCTCCGTGATGCCCAAAATCGCGTCCTAGAGAGAACAAATGACGTGCCCGGTCAGCAAAAGGCCAAGCAAACATCTATGCAACGGGATAGAAGCATTATTCTTATACCGGAGGGCCCTGGGGCACATTGGACCAGGTGGAAGCTGGACGAGCACCAGCAACAAACAGGCGCATGGCAACATCGCGAGTCGCAGCCTTTTGGCTGGCGACTCTTAGAGTGGACAACATGGCGATATGATACGGAGGTTAAGCTAGGATAGAGATTTCTATGCTGCACAAAAGCTCAGCAAGGAATTGAAAAACGAGAAGGTAGCCAATGGCTAGTAATAATGAGTCAGAGAAAAGTTATAAATATTTATTTTGATTAGCTTGTGAAAGTAAAGTCGAGATGGGATTATTATAAAGACAAGTCTCAGGAAGATCTCGGAGCGGGAAAAGAGAGGGATAAAAAAAAAAATAAAAAAAAAAAAAAAGAGCTTTCAGGAATTGCTTTTTTTTTTCTTCTCTCCACCTTTTTTTTCCCTTTCTCTTCACCGAAAATCCCAAAATCCCCGCTTTAACCGAGTTCGATTTACTGCGTAATCCGAAATTAATCAAATTATAAAAAGAAAAAAAAACAAAAAAAGCCTTAGGAAACCTCCCGAGTGCCGAGCCCTTGCAATGGCAGTTTGATCCGGGGAAAGCAGCCAGATATCCCAAATAATAATAATAGTAACAAACATCCCAGTAAGTACCTCTACCTTGCCCTGCGCCTTTCCCCTGCCATTGGCCAGGTAGCAGTACAAGTGGACTCCCCCCCCCCATAGGCAGCCGGGGAAGAAGCCGGCAATGCCTGGAAGTCTGGGCGCTGGGGAAAAATAAGAAGAAGAAGAAGAAGAAGAAGAAGAAAAATTAGTTCTCTAGCTCTTATATATTATTATTAGATTTCAAGTAACGTCCCGAAAATGCCCTACAGAGGTGGATCGCTTTTTGACGGGAATATTTATAAAGGATGTTGGAGGAGAAGGATTACGATATTCTTTATACGAAGGAGGATTGGATAATTGATAATTGATTTGATTCCCGCTTAACATTGTAAATGGAGTGTTTTGTTTGGCAAAAAAGTACCAGCTTAGAGAAAGAAAAGCATGCAACGACAGATCCTCTACATGCTCCTCTACATGCAACATTTAAAAATGTAAATAAGCATGGGGAATGGATCTACAGTACAGATGTAGTTCCAAGTATACAGAAGACACCCCCTTCATCCAAGCCGAACCCCAGCCTGCCGATTCCTCCTCGCCGTCGCCCCCATCGCATTATTCATCCCAGTATGCTGGCTACTATCCAACGTACTCATCGCCTCCCGCTTCTTCTCCTCCTCAATCTTCTTCAGATGCTTCTCCGTCTTCATCTTCCCGCTGCCCTTGCCGTGGAACTGGTGCGAGAGGTGCTTGAACGCCTCCTTCTGGTCCATCAGCCGCCCGTGCTCATCCACATACTTCAGCTGCACGTCCGGCTTGTACTCGCGGTTGAAGATCTCCGCCATCTGCCGCGACTCGAGCTGGTCGCGCTGCTTGTTTTCCTGCCGTGCGTATTCCTCCCGGTCCCGCGCCGTCATGCGGTCGAGCTTGCCCGAGGCGCGGTCGCGTTCTCGCTGGAGACGGGCGCGGCGCTCTGCTTCCGCTTCGCGCCGTTGCTTCTCCTGTAAGAATCGTTGGCGCTCGCGGTGGAGCGTGTTCAGATCGCCTGCGTTGGATTCCTTTACCAATCCCCGCTGTTTAAGCATGGCGAGAGTAGAGCCCAGGCCCTGGTCAAGTGTCGATTCCTCTTCTAATCCAGTAGCAGTGATGTCTGCAGCTGGCGTAGTCTCCTCGCTTCTCTTCAGTCGTCCTTTGAGGTCTTCTTCATCTTCAATATCATTATACGACCTCTCCATATCGACATCTTCGTCCCTCTCTTCTTTCACTTCAGGCGATTCTTCCTTCGGGCGCGAGACCGAGCGCTGGCGCCGATCAGGTATCGTGGGGCGCTGTAGGTTTGCGACAAATTCGGATGTCTCATCGATAACCAGGCCAGGAGCGTCGTCCTCGCCATCCGCGTTATCCAAGTCCATTCCATTCTGTGCTTGCTCTGACTCTTCCCGTAACTGTCTGGCGATATCCTCCGGACGAACCTTCTTCCGTTTCTTGAATGCAGCTCGTCTCTGTGTTGCTAGTGACGCTTGCAAATCCTCATCATCAACGAACGATATTTCTCTATCTGATCGTCGCGGGGCGGGGGTTGAAAGTCCAGTACTGACAGCTCCCGAATCCACTTCCATACTATCTCCATTAGGCGTGTCCGTAGTGTCGATGGTTGGGAATATGTCATCTTCATCCACCGCTTTCTGTCTCGTAGATTTCGGCTTCTTCTTTTTCGGCTTCTTGATTTTAATCTCTGTCGCCTCCTGATAGTCTGATGGGGTAGCCGTAGGTTCGGGCATTATATCGAGGTTGACAGGCTGCGCCTTGAGCTTAGACGACACATCCTGCCGCTTCGCCTCCCGCTCTTCCTCAGTCAGATCCTTAGCATCCAACGTAAACCGTTTCCTCTTCTTCCCTTCAATCTCTTCATCATACTGCGCCAGAATAGAGCCGGACCCATCGAAATCATTAGGATCATACACCGGCTTCTTTTTCTTCAACGCCAGTCGCTCATTAAGGCGCTCCCGGTCCCGCAAGTCGATATTCTCCAACTCATCCCCTTCCTCCTCATTCTCATCGATGGTCGTATCCTTAAGCGTAAGAATCTGCTCCTCGCCCTCTTCAAAATCAGCCACCTCATGTCCAACCCTCACACCCGCAAGATCCTTCGCAGTATATTCCGCAATCCGCTCCCTCTCCGCAAGTTCCTCAGCGAGTCTCTTCGCGCGCTCCTTTTCAATCTTCCGCTGCCGCTTCTTCTGCTGCATCAGCCAGGTTTTGGTATCCAACGCAGCCTCCGCTTCATCGACCTCACCCAGCCCTTTGCCCTCAAGTTTCACTAGTTTCTGGGCATTTTCGCGCGCCCGCTTGATCGCGTCCAGCTTCTCCTGGCGCTTCTTCTTCGCCTCGGCTTCATCCTGGTATTTCTTCCAGTTATCGTATCCCTGCGCCTGTCGCGACTCTAGTGTGCTTGCGGGTTCGTCATCTGAAGAATCTGAGTTGTTGCCATCTCTGGATGGCTTAAAGACGGGACCATCGTTGTTTCTGTTGTCGGTGGTAGTGGCAGCGCCGGGGACAGGAAGAGGCTTCAGACCAAGGGCGACTCGGATCTTATTGTTTTGCTCAATCGACAGAGCGTCCGTCATAACTGTGGAGACAAAATGGAAAAGGCACGGTATGATTCAGTGGGTCAGACTGTAAAACGTGAAGTGAAAAGAGTTCCAAAATAGCTTGTGTACTGTTGTAGTTGCCCTTGCTCTCCGCTGCTCCTCTCCTCTCCTCCAGCTGCCTTGCGATATTATTATGGCTCTGTTCTTCGCCAGCTCCGGAATTTCACCAAAATCCGGTCCGAACTCAAACAGGCATAGCGCCACTCAGTGCCCAACTACAAAAAAAAATATCACAACCTTCGACTTCTCTTTCTCTCTCTTCTTCCTCATCACAACAAATCCAGATCTGTGTCCAGCAGTCCTGATCCAACCAGGGTATTCGTACCCTGGCTGTGTTTCGGTTGCTATTGCTGGACAGCTCGACGATTCATGGAGCCATCGAGGGGGAATCATTTTCTAACAAAAAATCTTCCCTTGCAAAAAATGGTGTCAATTTCCGGTCGACAGATCTCAGAGAGAATCTCAGCGGCCCGGTTCTTCTTTATTGAACTAACACTCAGCCTTGAGCTCCCTCCCCGTTTCGGCGGGTTGGTGAATTCGGTGAGGTGGCCGGGTTCCTGCTGAGGGCGTCATATTCCACCTCCCTTTACCGATTTCTTTTGGCCGTCGGCTGATGAGGTTAGGGAAAAACCATGACTTGCCAACATATATAATTATTCAATTCGGCCGTTTACTTTTCGCTTGGATAACTGGGGACATCTGGTTTGGAGGGGGATGAGGAGAGAATGAGAATGATCCAAAATGCTCTTAGGATATTCCACGAAGCTTGAAGAGATTTTTGGCCACTATCGGCCCCTCCATGCCATACTCTATTTCAGTCATGTCCATAGCTGCAAGTAACCCATATCTATAAATAAAAGAAACCCCATAATTATCATGGAAAAAATCCCAAAGAGAAAAACTCCAATGTACCATACCCCAAGCCATAAACAATCTCTAACAAAGTAGCAAGTATTCTGTCACGGGTATAAAAAAAAAATAAAAAAATCACAAAAACAACACAGAAAACCCTACAACAACTTCAACCCCCCCGTAACCCCATCCACAACCCCTCTCGGCCCCAAGATGCCCAACACAGTCCGACTCCCACTGGCAATCTGCGTTCGGCCCGCGTCCTGAATAACCTGCGCACACAGCCCCAAACTGACAGCCTGCGCCTGCAACACCAACAGCTCCTCCTCGCTCTTCACCTGCAGCGCCACTTTAGCCTGTCCACGGCGCTCCCAGCGTTTGAGAATGGGCGAGTCCGGCGCGCGGGTGAGGTAGTGTTTGTAGCAGGCGAGGGTTGCGTGGGAGCATTGGGCGGCGATTTTGCCTGTATTTGAGGGAATGAGATTTTTCAGTTGATTGTCCCGTAAGGTTCGGTGTTAAAATGGGTATGTTATGTAGTAGGGGGCGCGGTGTGTGAAAGATAAGAAAAAAAGAAAAGAAAAAGAAAAGAAAAAAAAAAAACAGACGAACCCTTCCCCATCCCCAAATCCGTCCGCACAACAAGCACAAGCTTAACCTCCTCCGTATTCCCCTCGAACGCAGCGATCTCACCCCCTCCCCCCTCCTCTTCACTCTCCTCATCCCCCTCCTCCTCCTCCTCCTCCTCCGACTCCCCATGCACCTTCACATCATAACTATTCGGCCAACTCTTCCTCTCCTTCCCCTTCCCACCCCCTTGCCCCCTCGACCCCGCCCCAAAAACCCCCAACGACGCCCCCTGCCCAATAAAAAAGCCCGTGACACCCGCCAGGATGGCAGCAGCGATGACCAGCGCCGCGGTGCTTGGCGGGGGGACGCGCTCGGTCGCGTGGAAGGGGGAGGTCATTTCTGTATTATTATTATTATTAAAATATTAACCTGCGCATGTACTGAGAGAGGAAGAGAAAGTGTTTCTCTATTCGGCACCTAGTTTTAGTGTTGTGAGGCGCGCGGGTGTGGGAGGGGGGGGGCTGGGTTGGGTTTGAGAGGTTGCGGCAGAGGAGAGAGAGGGTAGGGTGTGTGGTGTGTCCTTTAGAGTTTTGAAAACCGGTTGAAAAATTAACTTAAGCTTGGAAAGCTAATAATAAGCTGTCTGTCCTGTATGTAAGCTTGCTGGTTGGAAGAGGGTTTGACGAGGATATTGAACAAAAATGCTTCGTCCGATACATTTTATCATTTAAGACTTTCAATTATGGACTTTACCCTGCATTTAATTTAAAAACTAAGAATACCTTCCACAGATCCCCCAATGTTCTAGTACAAAAAGCGAAAAAATACCGAATCGGAATCAAAAACAAAAAAAAAAAAAAAAAAAAAAAAAAAAAAAAAAAAAAAAGAAGCGGGGAAAAAAGCTACCGGTAGTTATAATAAAATAAAATAGTAGTAGTAATAGTAATAAATAATATATAATAAACAGAAAACAGTAATACAGAGCTATACCGAACACATACAGAAAACAACTCATACACATACACATCTATATATCATTTTTGTTATTTCGTTTGTATTTTTCGTTTTGGCTTTTTGGTCTTTTGGCTCTTTCACTGCGCAGCACCCGCGGGCGGAGCAGCCTGAGGTCGTGGGGGACCCATTCTCCGGCTCCTATTCAAAACGAAAAAAAAAAAAAAAAAAAGAAAATCCATCATCAGTACCTAAAAGATCGAAGAGGAAAAAGGTTTTGGGTGACAAAGGTGGCTGGCTGGGAAGAATGAAAAACAACTTACATGAAAAGTCCGACTAATAAAAGCTGATCCCGACCATCATAAGCCAGCTAGGCACCATACCGACGTAATACATCACATAGCCAAACGGCACACTAAGGCCGTACTGCGCCAGCTTTCCATCGACGGGGTGGAACGTGCCGTCAAACGCCGGTTTGTTCTCCCAAGTCTTCTCGGAATGGACCTTGTAGATGGCCTCAGCGTCGACGGAGGTGGTGTTCACGCGCGACATGTGGACGAGGGTCTTTGGTTTTGGCTGGCCTGGTTCGCGCGCGGGGACCTGCCAGTGCCAGACGGAGGCGGGGGTGGCGGAGAGGATGGAACAGAGGAGGCCGTTGTTTTCGCAGTTGATTTTTGCGAGGGAGGGGGAGGTTTCGTCGGCGGAGAAGAGGGGGATGGCGGCCTATTGGGGGTATCGTTAGTATCTTAATATCTAGAGTTACCATAAGTTATATATCGAAAAGCCAGCCACACATACCTCCCACGCCTTATCCGCCTTCTTACACTGGCCATGGCACGTCTTATTCCCGCCAGTAACGTAAATCAACCACTCCTGCCCTGGGCCGTCATCCTTCGGAGCCAATAACGACTCCCAGTTGGCGACGGTGATGGGGGTAACCTCCTTATTGACGATCTTGGGAGCACCTCCCTTGGAGCCAGCAGCAGCGCTGGTGGCAGCGGCGGCGGCGGAATTGGCAGCGGAGTTCACCACGGGGGTAGCGGTGGGGAGGAACGATTTAACCTTATTGAACCAGCCTTGCACCTGGTCCCTGAGTGGGATCTGATCTTGCGCCGCAGCCAGGGCTGGGAGGAGGAGAATAGTTGATGATGACAGACGCATTGTGGTTGTGGTTGTGAGTGTGAGGAGGAGACAGTAGGGATGAGAATAATAAGAATAAATAGATAAAGAGAAATATAACCTCTTCCTCTATTTTTTTTTTTTTTTTTTATCCTTTTCTTTCCCTTCAAGCCTGCGTCGTTGAGTTTCGGTTCTGGCGGAAAAAGGGGGGTGAAGCGAAAACGCGCTTCTATTTCTTTGACTTTTTTTCCTGTCGACCACGAACTAGAGGCCAACTATTACATAAGGGGGGGACGAGATACAGTGGATAGTTCTAGAAATTTTCTATTTGAGGCTGGAATGGGAAGGAGGGGGATATTTTATAATAGCGACAAAAATGAGGTCGAAAGATTAAAAAGGAAGAAATATGATATCCCCTTGATTATTATATCAAACAAACGGGAAGGTTTGTGTTTTGGGCAAAGAAGGAAAACCGGGATAGGATCAAACAAGGGCTGCTACTAGGCTGTATCGGGCTAAACTCCATCGGAATGGATCACGTGATATATATGGGGATGTTGACAGGTTCATACATTATTGTTGTTGAACCTCCTCTGTTGATATTCAAGGCTCTAGTGATTTTCTCCACAGATATGATAAACTACAGAAGAGAAGAAGAATACTATAATTCAACTCTTATAAAAAGTTGCTTCTGATGTAACTAGCTCTTTCTTTATATGAAGTATAAAGAGAATGATTTGATATGAGTGATATTTTCAATATATATCAGACCTCTCTCTCTTTCTCTCTCTACACACATTGTGACCACTGACTTCACCTCTTTATGCCATGTTATAGCTTTCTTTTTTCAGCACATTCTCACTTACTTTATCTCATTCTTTACATTCAATCACTCACTCACACCTCTTACACAAGAATCACAGTGCCAAAGACAAGAAAATATAACAATACGGAAAGAGAAAGAGAAAGAGAAGAAAATGAGTGATGACACAAGAAGTTAAAAAATAAAATAAAATAAAATAAAATAAAAAATAAAATTTGAAAGAGAAAGAAGAAGAAAACAAAAATGAGAAAATAAATCAAAACATCAAAGACAGACTTTTATTTTAATTTTGATTTTGATGATGAGAAGTGATGAAAATGAAATAGATGAATAATGAGGTTGCAAAAGATGCGCGCGGAAGATTTTCTTTTTTGAAAGTATTTATATATACGCGGAACACTGAGGGGGAGGAAAGAGGATGAGAGAAGAGCTGGGGGGGCGGAGAGTGAGACAGGCATATATAACGTGATGTGATTGGGTATGATATAACAGGAACAGGACATGGCTTGCGTGGTATCAAGAAGTTGTATGGAGAAGAAGAGGAAGAGAGAAGGGGGAAGTTAAGTAGGAGATGAAGAGAGGGGGAGAGAGAAGAGAGGAGCGGGAGAGGGGGAGGGGAAGAGAGAAGAGGAGAAAATAGGAGAAAGGGAACTCAAAGGGTACATGAAGATAGATTCTTTTTTTTTTTTTTTTAAATTGAAAAACTGAAAAAAAGAAAAGAATATATATAGAAAACAAAATGGCATGTGTAAAAATATATCAACGCCCCTGAGAGAGAATTCCAGAAGGGAGGGAGAAGGAGAAGAAGAAGAAGAAGAAGAAGAGAAGAAGAGAAGAAATAAAAAAGAAACAATGAGAAGTAATAACAAGAGAATTAATTAACAAATGAAAATAAAAGAAAGACAAGAAAAGAAAAAAAAAAGTAATGAAGACATCACAAGACAATTTAGTCCATTATGTGATTATATTTCCCTCCCTTCCAAACCTCCGCACTTTCTTCTCTCTCAATTAAAAGCATTCTAGTTCCATAGACCAGAAAAGCTCTTCATATCGTTCAGTCCTTCCAAACCATGTAGCCCCATCTCCTTCCACTCTCCGTCCCATGGCCCCTCATTATTATTATAAAAGTAGAGTAGATATCAGACTCCTTTTTTTTTTTTTAAACCTTCTCGCCATAAAACCTTTTCAACCGCACGACGGCATCCTTGTAATCTTTCTCGGTTTCATTCAGCGTCTTCTCGATATTCTTCAGCGAGACTTCCTTATTGGGTTCGGTGACCGTGCCGGACTCGTCCTTGCCCGCTCCGAGGTTCTGGATCTTTTCGCACGCCTCTTTCACTTTTGTGAGGCCTAGCGTTGCCGACGAGCCTTTGAGGAAGTGGCCTAGTTGGTAGATTTTGTAGAGGTCTTTTTCCTTGCTGTTGGTCGTAAAGGAGAAGGAAGGGAAGGGAAAATAGTTAGAAATTAATTTGTTTTTGAAAAAAATGAAATAAAATAAAATAAAATAAAAGCAAAAATAAAAATAATGGAAATTATTAAAGATAAAACAACAATAAAGCAGAAAGAGATAAGGTTTGTACTCAAGTCGGGAAATACATCTGAAAGATGGTTGATTGGTGGAGATCGGCATCATAACGGTTTGAAGGGGAGGAGGTTGGTTGGGGATATGACGTCATAGGAACTTGTTGCGATAGAACAAATGGGGGGACCGCTGGTTTGGGTGCTGTGGTGGTGCTGTGGTGGTGCTGGTGGGGAAAACAAAAAAAGAGGGGCGCACGCGGAAAAATGGGTTTTTATTCCTCAAGGATTGTAACTCACATTGCCTTCTTCATATCCGAAAATGTAGTTTCTGCCTGTTCGAAAAACCCGTATACTAAGTCTCTACTAAATTCACGCTTAAAGTCTTCATCCATCTCGAGAATTTGCTCGAAGGTTGTTTCTTCGATGTGGTCACCCAGTGAGGCTAGATCGGGCACTTTGTCGTTGGCGGTTTGCTGCGGTGGCTGCTGCGGTGGCTGCGGCTGCTGCGGCTATATGTGCGGGGGGTGGTTGGTTAGAGATATGTATATGCGATCCCCAAGGGCAGGAAAACAGTGAAAATTCAAAGGAAGTAAGTAATGAGGTCTGAGTAATCTGATTTGACATACCACCTGTGCCGTCGCTGAAGGCGTCATGTTCGAGAAGGAGGGGGGGTTTAGTCGAACGGACGAAGGGGTCTGATAGGCCAAATATGGCATTTATTTGTTTATCAAGGACTTCGCCTGATACACAGATATAAAAAAAAGAAAAGGTTTTATCTAGGAACAGTGAGCTTCTTGGGAGCCCACCGCGGAAAGAAGGCCCTCACGGAGGGGAAACCGGATGTGAAAATTATATTGCGACCGCAGAATACCGCAGGTATAATAGTTTTTCCTATTCCAGCATTTAAAAGTTCGACTGTGATCGAGCAGATTAGGTAGCGTGGGCGAGGACCAGCGCGTTATTGGGATTCGATTAGGAAACGGAGGTGCAAGGGAAGGGCGTGGTGTGAAATGTTGACGAGAACTAGCTCCGTCGAAAAATAGCTTTTGTAGGAGGATAGGGATGCAAGGTTGAGTAAGTTGGGAGCCGAGGAGGAAGTCGAGAGTGGACAGTGTTCTTTTCTGGGTTTCGTGTTCTTTGTAATGTAGCAAGTAAAGGGTCAGCCATCGAGAAATAATAATAGGTAAATAATAGTTCGCTTGGAAAAAGGAAGAAGTTTAGAAAAATGACGAAACAATATTAATGTGATTGAATTTTCGTGGCGAAAGCACAGCCCAGGAGGGGCAAGACGAAGGAAGCAGTCTAGAATTCCCTCCCCCCCCCGCGCCAAAAACTCCCTCCGAGAGCGATTCGATCGATCGCCCAAACAGCTCTATCTCACACACACCCACACACACACACACACACACAAATCTCTCTCTCTCTCTCTCTCTCTGCCAATATTCATCCTTTTCCACCACCAAAAACAAACAAACAACAACAACAACATCCTCCTCTTTTTTTTTTTTTTTTTTTTTTTTTTTTTTTTTGCTTTTTGCTTTTTGTTTTTATACAAGTCACCCAGAATATATCTATCCCTGTTTCATTTTTGTAACTCCGACAGGCGGTTTCTTGGTTGTGCTAGAACAACGCCGAATGCCCACAACGAACCCCGATGCCCCCCTCTTCTATATAGTAGAAAGGGAGGTGGGAAAAAGGAGAGAAGAATGATAAAGAAAAATGGAAAAGGGGAAAGGGAAAAGGGAAACCGAGAGGACTAACTTTACCTGCAGCAACCAGTTTCCAGGCTTTTTCTCTGGCAGTTTTAAAGCCGGAGCAAGCGCCAAGCTGGGCAGCAAATTCCAAGGGCAAAAAATATAAAGGTCACACTATATATGTATAAATATTTCCGTGAGCCCACATCCGCAACATATGATATATGTATAATATATATATATATATATATGTATATGTATAAACCTCTTCCAAAAAAGGCGGATTTTTGTTTCTTCTTTCTTTTTTTCGGTGCAGTGAATAGATCTAATCAATGACGGCTGGTTTGTGAGGTGGGGAGGAGAGGAGCTTTGGTGTGGTGCATTGAGAGAGAGAAATGTCCGGGTGGGTGATTGTATTGTGACGAACCCTGAAGAATGATGATGCTGATGACGCTGGTGATGCTGGTGATGCTTGGATGTTTGATATATATAAGAATGTGTGGTAAGGACAGGGGAGGAGGAAACGGAGTTGAACGACGGGCGCGGGGGATGGGCGGGACAGAACGGGCTTGAAGCTAGGTCATCTTAGAGCGAAGCTCAGGTCCTGGCGAGGTGTTGATCTGGCGCGGAATAAAAAACATAAAAATAAAAAGATAAAAAAATAAAAAAGTGAATACAGAACCAAGGCTAAACAAGACTTACTACAGCTGTAGGGAATGGCGGGAGAGAAGCACTCCGTGTAATTGAAGGAAGAGAAAGAGAGAGAGAGAGAGAGAGAGAGAGAGAGACGGAGACGGAGACGGAGAAGAAAAAACAAATAAATTGGAAATAAATATAAATCAATCAATAATAAGAGGGGAGAGAAAGAGAAGCTGAGTTTGTATGAAACCCACCTGATTCAGCCCTTTTTTCTTTTACACCAGAGCTCACCAACAGAGTAACTAACTAAAGAAGAGAGAAGGGGAGATTGAGAGACAGAAGAAGCAAGAAGCAAGAGTAGTTAGATAGAGAAAAGGGAAAAGAAGGAGTCGCAGTCTATTACGGGGAAATTTGGAATTTTCGAGCGTCTGAAGATACTGGCGGCGGCGGCAGCACACAAGAAATGAGGGGTGTGTTGTGGCGCTTATAGCAGCAGCAGCAGCAGCAGCCCCCGGTCTAAGAAAAGGTGGAATATGCAATGCAATGCTAACTTTGCTAACACGCTGCGGACTGGACTGCACTGGACTGTTACCTCTACTTATTATTATCTCTTTCTCTGGTGTCCTGCTTGCGATTGTTATGCTGTCCCCGTTCGTTCCCTTTGTTATTTTTTATTTTGGTTTGTTCTGGCGGCTAGGAGATGTTGTTTATCCCCGTAGATTGGGAACCGGGTTGTCGGTTTTTTTTTTTTTTTCACACACAATGCCCCGCGGGGAAAAAGCAAAAAAAAGCAAAAGGAAAGTAGGATAGACAGATAGTAGTAAGTCAGTCAGCACATGGCCCGAGGGGTTGGTTGGTTGGGTGGGAGCAAGAAGAAGAAGAGATAAAAAATATAATAAAATAAAACGGCGAAGTGTGTGGAAAAAAGGAAAAAAAAAGGACGGTGGGGATAGAAAGAACAGAACACTCTCTTTCAAATAAAAACACAACATCATCTCCACGCAATAGTAATGAGTGTAGGCGACCACCGTCACGCTGGGTTCTAAACTTCCCCCCCTTATACTTCTTCGGAGGCATTTATTTCCCTTCTTTCTTTCTTTCTTTCTTTCTTTCTTTCCGTATAATTATTTGTTAATTTTTCGAAGGGAGAATCGTCTTCTGAAGAATTCTATTGTTGACGGGAGCGAATGAATCAATTGATTCTCTCTCCTATAACTACCTACCTACTATCTACCTACGAAAAAGAAAAGTACAATGTACATGTACAGTACATTACATGCACATACAACTACAAGGCCCAGACCCCCTCTAGCAGGTAAACGGTGCAGTATATCCACCACAGGAAAACTCCAGACATAAACGGCCACCCCTATTTCTTGGTCGATAGATAAACTAACAGTAACAGGGGGGGAGGGGGGAGGGGAGAATATATGTAATGGCTCTTAGCTAAGTAAAGCCGCTTACAGCCTCGGGGATACATTTTATACCGGGGGAGTCCTCCGGTACATAAGTTCGAAGTTCGAGGACACTAATAAAACTAAGCCCATGATAAGGCGGGGGTGGGGGGATGGGATGGAGAGAGAGAGAGCTGCTCTCTGACCTTTCCTGTCGTTGTAAAAGCATCGCTGAGTTAGAATTGATATGTTTGATTGATTGGCCCTTCTGTGAAGGTTTCCGAGGTTTGCCTTTGACAACCTTAAAACTATATTTTTTATTAACTAACTTATTTTTGATTATAAATTGAAACCCCATCATGTACTGTAAGTTACAAGGAAACCAGCACCTGAATTGCCCGCGGGCAATGCGAAATGAGAAAAAGAAAATGGAGAGGAAAGGAAAATGAAGAAAAATGAACATATTAACATAACTATCAAGAAAAGAAGTTCTCTTTCTCTTACCGCCTCTCTCTCTTTCTCCCTCTCCCCTCCCTCCTTCAAAAATCCATGCGGGCCAACTAGTTAGTTATTAGTTAACTCGATGTTCAATCTGAATAACTAAGTTAGTTAATCCACCCACTGACGTAACAGGAGCATGCATGCACAGCGCCGATCACCAGCTCATCGCCGCTGCTGCTTACTTCCACTAACATAGTTAGTAGTAGTTGCTATGACATTCCACGTTCTCGCCAGATGCTAGTAAATAATAATAACCGTGCCATGCTTACTCACTCTCTGTAGTGAGTGCGCCACAGCATACAGAAAACCACACTGTAAAGAAAATATTTTCAATATCTTCATTCTTCATCTTCAAATAATCATTATTAATTATAACCATGTCTAAATCTTCTAATTACACTGAGAAGCAGTTGTAAAGAGCTGTTAACACATATAAAAGTAATTCAAAATTAAAAATCACATCTCTGTCATGAGAATTCAAAGTCTTATATATCATCTTATATAAGAGAATCAATAGAAAGAAATCAAGAACTATGAGAATTTCACTGAATTGAGTATTGAATGACAGTCAGAAAGAGATAATTAAGATATAAATTCATCAATTGAACATTAATTTTTACTCACTTATTATCAAGTATATCAAAGCTGCTATGAACTGTATATTAAGACAGTATTATACAGATTCAGAGACTGCATCTTTCACAGTAAGTAAGATATGAATATATTAATTTATCAAACATCTATCAGATTATAAATAAGTCAAGTAAAAACTCATAAATTTAAAATAAGTATCTTATAAGAATATAAGCTTCATTATTAACTAATTTAATTAATATAAAGCTGTCTTCAATTAATATCAATTTTTTCACTGTAATATCTACAACTTTAATAAGATTGAATTTTAAGAAGAAGAAGAATGCAGATAGTGAGTTATAATCATCTTTAAAGATATAAATTTTATTATATAGTTATTATACTTCTGTAGATTAATAACAGTGATGAAGTATATTAGTACAGATAATATAGTATTAAATTCATTAATTATAATAAAATTAAAGATTTATTTAGAGAATTAATATACATACTTTAACTTATCTAATAACTATGCTATCACTGCATCTGAGTCTGACTTTATAAATAATGAGATTGAATTTGAATGAATCAAGCAGTTTAATAAAATGATAAAAAAGCATTAAATAGATAGTTATTAACTACTATTAATAAATAATCATAATTCTTATTTTATAGAAGAATTCATTTAATACTGTAATCTTTATAAGATTATTCTATTCAGATTCTTATCTTATATAAGTTATATTCTATAATCTCTTGATAATATATCTTTTCAGCAGTATAAGTATTATTATATAAAGACAGTTAATAAAACTATCTGCTACAGATATAAGCAGTATAATGATAGATAATTTCTTACTAATCTGAAGAGTATCTGACTGTAAGCATTTAAATCTAGTACTGTAAGAGCTGACTTTATCAACTGTAAAATGTATTCAGTTAATTATAATATAATTCTCAATTGATTGAGACCTTTTATCATTGATAATACTTCAGATCTCAATATATACAATGATGATAATAATATATATAATTACTTTATTCTGTCATCTGCAGATTGACTGTTAACTGTTTTCTTATAATTAATCTTCTCAGAGACAGTTATAAAACTATATTATTAAATTAATACAGTAGTCAAGATCTTAGAAGATGTGAAGAATACTCTTATATCTGATTTGATAAAACAGTTGAACAAGATCTTTAAGAGTAGCATAATTCAGATGAAATTGAATATATACTGTGAGAGTGAACTTGCAGATTATTATTAAGTAAATAGATATCAGATCATCAAATTCTTTCACAGATAGATACAAGTAAATGAAGTTCTCACTATTAAGAATATCAATTACAAGATTATGACTTATAGAGTAGATGAGATGAAAAAGACATTTAATAAGACTCTTTAATTGATTGAAATCAAATCTATAAAATCTACAGTCACTCAATTATAACAAGATAATTCTATAGAATCTCAACTTACAGTGAATTCTACACCTTCTAATGAGTATATAGATAATCTTTATATTATAGATAGATGTGATGATGATTATTAATTAATTTTTGAAGATTACTATATTCAAAATATTTTCTTTACAGTGTGGTTTTCCATACGCTGTGGCGCACTCATTACAGAGAGTGAGTAAGCATGGCACGGTTAGTGGGATAGTGGCAAGTAGCAGTGTTGCCTGCCCAAACAAGGGTTCACACATATATATATATATATACACGCACACCCACACATGAGGGAGAGAGGAATCAAAAAAAAAAAAAAAGAAAAGAAAAGAAAAAGAAAAAGAAAAGATTAGCAGAAATTGATGAGGTAACTATGTATGAGAATGAAGAAAGAATAACTAAGTTACTTGCGCTGACTCTCTCTCTTCAATGGAGAAAAGAGGGTGAGTAAGTCAGGTTTCTTCAAACATTGATATTGCGTCTTATGAGGGAAAAAGAGAGCGAAGCAAATATAGAAAAAGTTAGAAGGGATCAAAAAAAAAAGGCTTCATTTATAAAATAACAGCTCTCTAAGTGCTGCAAGATCAATAATGCAGATGCACAGTATAGTATGCCTTCTTACAGCAGATATATCCAGCTACCTCTAAAAGCCATCAAAAGATTTGGACTCGATGATATTCCTGTTTACAACTAGGTCCGGATTCGCCCTGAAGGCAGGCTGCTTTAAATCCCCACCTACCCCCCTGAATTGGAGAGGTTGGGAAAGAAAGGTGAAGCCAGGTGAAGGCAGAGTGAAGGCAAGAGTGAAGAGGAAGAGAGCCATTTGATTTCTGTGTGCTTAGTTCATCATTCTAATTACAATGCAAGGACTTGGCAACTTTGTAGCTCATTATTTTGAGTCAAATCTCAGAAGCTGAAAAGAGTTGATTGATCTTCCTGGCACACAAAAGAGTGCGATTACATGTTCAACATGTTTTGTTGCTACTATGCATTATTATTATTATTACTATTTATTCTTCCATTATACTCATATGCAAGCAGAGCTTATGATGAGTCCTTGCATGATGTTAAATACAGGCCAAGTGTTTGATTATACAGGAGGAAATACAGGTGTTGAGACTGCCCGACAGCACAGTCCGTCAGGCCTGGCTCATTCATTTGCATTCCCTAGTTGAAGACCATTATTGGCGTGCTTAGTTTATCCGGTCTACATTAGGTTTATCGTCTCGTAGAGATTTCATCTCCCCCTTCTTTGTATTCAGGCTCTTCTCGAGCCCTAGACTTCATAGACAATATACAATACAATCTACACTCTTTTAGTTGATCATTCCGATCATTGTACACATCACATCATACAACAAGATTTCATCGAACAGCCATATTCTGAGTCTTAACAATCGTTTTATGACAATCTTTGTGAGGATGGAGCTCAAATAGACTGTTTTTGTCAAGAAACAGCTCTTGTTTTATGACAATTGTTGTTGTCTTTATGACAGTCAACGGGCCACTTCTAACCATAGCACTTTTACAGCAATTGCATGATAATCTCCCATATTGGACATTGACAGCGATATTCCAGCTAGATGACCTCAGCCTCAAGTCTGAGAATCTCCTCTTTTCTCCTGCTCAGTTCTGCACGGTGCTTGGTTTCTAGCTCGGTGTTCCGCTCCTTCAGGTGCCGCACTTCTCCTTCCAGCGCCCTGACCTTCGCGGACCCTGCTTCAAATACTGTGTGAATTTCGCCTATCCCAATACCAGCCAATACCAGCACATAACAAGGCCCGGCTGGGAGAAAAATCTTCCCAGGGCTGTTTCAAGTTGGGTATTTTGCATTTCTTCAGTGGCCGTGATGTCGTGGATCAGGGAGCGCTAGGTCATCGAACAGAGCCTCATACTCTGGGAAGCTATACCCAACGACCGAAGAAGAGGTCACTGGATTGCATATCAGGATGCGGGATACTGCCCCGGCTGCTAACCAGGACCGGGGGCGCTTGGGTTATGTTTAGAAGTGAAAAGGAAGACGGTCCTGGAGGGGGAGGGGGCCCTCTATTTATACCAAGGGATTGGGGGCAGTCGCAGGGTGTTTGTCTCGGGCTGCTCTCCAGCACATCGCTGTCAATGTCCAATATGTTATACCATCCCTTCAGAGTGGAAAACCCTCCTGTGCGGATATAGGTTTTGCCCAGGATGCATCCCTCCTGATGCAGACCTGTGCATTATGTTGTCGAGATATCACTGGCTATATCAAGAGTTATTAGATAGGAAATGCTTTGGCTATAGTGCTAGTATGAATATAGCCCGGCAACTTGTTGTGTTTTGGGTGTTTGGTAATGTGCTGTTAAACTGCACTCTACAGGTATTGAAGCACGGCGCAGCAGCGAACGAAGTCCGGAGACGAAATCTGAAAATAGAACTCATGCAGTACTAGCATCCTCTCCACAGCTGTCGCAAGGCGAATCATGGTGAGGAGACAAGAGGGGTAGGTATCGTTCGGGTTGTGGTTGCGCACAGTAGAAGAGGAGAAGGCATCGCAGTGCCATGGGCTAGTAGCTCGGTTTCTCCGGTGATATACGGTGCCCCCCTGAGGAGAAAGATGAGGACACTATCAAGCAAGGCTCCCCTCACCTGCCTACCAAGGGCCCTTAATGAGCCGCTAGGAGAAGCCACCTTATGGTTGATCATGATATCCCTTTCATGTATATGGATTAACATTATGTCACGCCCTCTGGGGCTGCAAATGCCATCGTGACAGCGGCGGGTTCAGCTATACGCGTCTCCCTCATTTGATTAAGACTTGTCGTCCTAAGGAGTCGCACAAGTCATAGTAGAGGTTTCGTGAGATATGCCCATTCGTTGCGACTAAATGCCTCCGTGATATCCTCGGTCCTTTTGTTTGTAACGGTTCGACTATGCCAACTAGTGTAAGTCGCTCCGACCTTTTGCTTTGTGATTCCTGATGGCTCCATTGGTTTGGAAGGTGGTTCTCTTGAAATTCACCTAGTGAAAGACCAGCCATTGTTCGGATTTCAGCGCACTCTTGCGTTGTTTCATTCTGTAGTTCACCATAAGCACGGCCGGGAAAGATGGATAGAGGTGATAGCTGAGCCGGCGCCACAGCAGCCAGTCGCCGAAATTTATGAGCTGCGGGCTATCTTCAAAAGGGCAAAGATCGCGGAAGCGTGTGCCACCAGTGAAGCTTTGAATAATGAAACAGATACAGCTTGAAAATATGAGCTCAGAACGTGATTCTTATCTCACACGACCTATAGGAGAAGAACATGTCAGCAAACCACCATTTCAAATGAAGAGGCAAGGAGGTGCACTGATGGATGTCTTTCAACAGGTGTGAAGTAGTAGAGTATTCTCCGCGCCAACACTTATTCATCACAGTACCTAATGGCCACCTAGAAACATCGGGAAATTTCCCCACCGTATAAAGCTTAATAGCTTCATGATCTTCTAAATCTTTATAGGGTGCTTCATATGTAATCAAAAAATAAACCACACTGCCAAACACAAAGAAGTCATTCTGAAGGGAAACTTTATATTCTTTATAATTCTCCCAGCTGGGCGGGCGGTATCTAGCTGTATTTGTCACTGTAGACACCTTCACCCCATCTATACAGCACGAGGCAAAGTCGGCAAGGACGATGTCGAAGGTATCGGTAACAAGGATATTAGGTGTTCGCAGGTCACAGTGGATGATGCCCTTGCTGTGCATGAAGACCAGCGCTTCAGCGATCTGTTCCGCCCATTTGAGATATGGTAGTTCTCCGTGCATTGTTGTCATTATCTTGTCGATGCAGCCGTTCCGGTAGTATTCCAGCTCGCACCCGACGTTGTTAAAGCGACCGTAGTAGTGGGCTATCCGTGGATGTCGACCCAGCAGCTCATAGGCTCGTTGTTCACAGCGCAGGTCATCTTCAAAGCCGGGGAAAGGGCACTTGAGAATAGTAGGTTTTTCGATCTTAAAGATACCGCTGCTTGCACCATATGTGATTTGTTCCATGATGATTGACAGTTGGTTTGATTTCCATTTTGTCGTCCTGATGCTGATGACTCAGCAAGAAACCGTTAGTTAATAACGTAGCGAGCGCAACACCAAAATCCTCTACCAGCTCATTAACGAACGCCCACCATTCAACGCGTAATTATGCCACCAATTCGCAAGAAAAATAAGAGAAATTCTCTAGAGAGAGAGGGAAGAATAGAGCCTGCAATTAATGCTCTTAAAAATCGAGAAATTATGACAATTCGCGGAAGCTGCATGTCTATATAATGTGTCATATTCTACTTTATCCTATCGACGCAATGGTCGACCTGCACGGGTGAATTTACGTGCAAATTCACACAAAAATTGACTCAGACTGAAGAGGATATGCTAGTTCAATGGGTCCTAAATCTAGATAAATGAGGATTACTGCCCCCAGCCGGCTTTTGTTGAGAATATGGCTAATCATCTTCTCTCTACGCGATCACCGGCAATCTCTCCTCCACCAGTTGGCAAGAACTGGGTCTCAAACCTAATAAAGTGCTGTACAGAGCTTCAATGCTGTTATTCAAGATGTTACAATCACGAGCGGGCGAAATGTGAAGAAGATATTAGAGTTATTTGGGAGTGGTTTAAGACTTTGGAGGATACTCTTACTCAATATGAGATTACTCTTGAAGATATCTACAACTTTGATGAGACTGGATTTGCAATGGGGCTCTGTGCAATGACAAAGATTATTACTAGTGCGGAGCACTATGGACGAGCAAAGCTACTACATATTGAGTCAGTCAACGCGTCAGGCTGGGCTCTTCCTCTGTACATCATTCTCAAAGGTCAGAACACCCAGGAAGCTGGTAGTAGGTCCTGGTGAGACTCACATCAAGAAATGTATGAGATCAGACCAAATGAGACCAAACATGAAATTCATGGTCCCACTGGCCAGTCTAGCTTCGCTTCGCTCCGCAAATTATTCTCAACGATGACATGGCCGCCGCCGCCAGTTCTCGTCTCGTATTTATCACGTAGTTATGGTACGGTACGGTACGGAGGGTGGACATCTTGCTTTAGTATAATAATAACAAAGTAATTCCTATCAAACACCCCACAAAACCTTTCTCCATATTTATTTTTATTTTTGAAGAGGAAAGTCTTTTTCTTTTGTCTTATTCCTTTCTCTTCATGAGCAAGTTTTAAAGAACATTCTACCTGTTGGTCTTCTCTTATTTCAAACTATCTTCACAGAGAAGTTTGCATTACTATGAACTTTCTAAGAACATTATTATTGAGAAGATGCATGTAAGCTGACACACAACTTTCAAAGATTTATACTTTTGATAAAATATCATCATTACTGCCTTCACAAGGGAAAACAGAAAAAAAAAAAAAAAAACGGCGGAAATAGAAAACCAGCCCAGCCTTAGTCAAGGCCCGGACAGACTCATTCATCACCGCCGCCCTAGACCTGTAATAAGAGAATAAATAATACGAAACGCATTGCTGTGAGGTGAGGCGGCTCTCTTCATTTCTCCATCATTCTGTAAAATTCCACCATCCCAGTTGATGTTTGAATCATTATTCAATCATAATTGGGAGGGGAAAGAAAAACTGAGAGAGGAAAGAAAAAATGAGAGAGGAAAAAATGTTTCTGTATGAGTTGGGTTGCATTTCTCTAGCTCTCTTCATATTTTTCATTTCTATTATTGTTTTTATTCTACTTTTTTTTTTTTTCATGGAGGGGTGAGGGGAATGGCATTGGTGCATTTCATCATATCTCTCACCGCATCCTCTTCCTCTCTTCTCTCCCTCTTCCTTGCCATTCCCCTCCCCCCCCCGGCCCCTACCTACCCTACCTAGGTAAAATTCAATTGTGTGATTTGTGATTTGCCAACTGGTGTGTGGGATGGGATAGGTGGGATGGAGACGGTCATCCCATCAGGAACCCGGCCCGGCAGGGGGTGATGTATATATCCCTTCCGGCTAGGTAGAGTAGAGTGTTTTCTTCCCCAATAATAATAATAATAGATAATAAATAGTTCCTGGTGGTTGGTTCGATGAGTCCAGGCCTGCTCTGGCTTACTGGCTGGTTGGCTTATGAATTGGGGGGGGGAATAATATTGAAAGAAGTTATGGGAAATGGTGACAAATGGGATAGAGGAGATATACCACTCCCCCACCACCACCACCAACACCACTATCACCGCTACTATTCACACACTTTGCTGGTTTTCTTTTTTGTGTCGCATCCATCTAGCGCTTGTAGCAAGAGGAGAGGAGAGAGGGGAGAGTGAGAGACTGCCCGGGAAAATAAAGAGGAACGTGAAGAAAAGCAAACAATTCTTATCCCGAGATCGGTAAATATATATATATATATCTCTTCTTCAACCCACACCCACCCCCCTTCTTTTTTTTTTTTTTTTCTTTTCCAATGCCCACGAAAAAGCCTCATTCATTCCGAGATATAATTCCCAAACATCTAAAACATCCAAAACCTAGTTCAGTGGAGGTGGATGTGTGTGGATCAATTCCGTCACCGTGCAGGAACCCAACTTAGTCCCCCCGAACTAGCCCAGCCAGAGCCCATCCATGGCCTCCATTAACTTACTAAAATTATTCCTTTTTTATCCAAGCGACCGCGGTCCAGCCACAGTGGGCAAAAGTGACGTCAGCCGGCGCCGGTGCAACCGCGCTACTAACTACTAGTTACTACTTACTACTACTACTGCACACTGCACAGCACACAGCACACACCACAGCACAGGACACACCCACACACAACTCCATAACTCCATAACTCCGCTGTAATCCTGTAACTGGTACGGAGTAGAGGACGAGGCCTTGCTTGGGGCCCAAGGCTATGGTATGTATGAAGGGTGGGTGGCTCGAGCTTACTGTTGCGTACTGTACGGAGTACTTACGCTGTTATGGATGGCCCATCCCGCTAGACCTCTTTGGGCGACTGGGCTTGGCAGGCCGAGGTCGGTCTTTGCTGCTCTTGTTGTTAAGAACACGCGCTGGGTCGGGCTATGACCACGCGCGGAGATTTGGTTGTTGTGTTAATAAACCACCTCAACTCATTCTCGTTCTCATTCTTTTCTTCGTTCGTCCTCTTGTTGTTGTTGACGTTCTACGGGGTACGAACAGAGTAAGAAGACGAGGATTCCTAAGGTTTAATTAATTGAATTGAGGATTTGAAATTTGGAGGGACACAATGTTATATATATAGATATATATATATATATATATATATTTTTCTTTCTTTCTTTTTCCTTCCTTTTTCTCTGGTGATGATGATTGATGTTCAAGGCGGAAATGGATGGAAAGAGAGAGAGAGAGAGACAAGACAAAAAGAAATAAAAGCTAGAACAACAATTTTAAAACAATTTTAAAATGAAATAGCTGTGGGAAAAGGACAGCAGAGATGAGATACATGTATTAAGAAGCTGAAAGACTAGGAGAGAAATGAAATGGGAGATGGGAGGAATAGGTGCAAGAAGAATAGAACCCAAGCTCTCCTTTTCTCAAAGGCGAAAAAAAAAAGAAAAAAAAAAGAAGAAGAAAAAGGGAAGACGGCTTTTGAAGAAAAGTGGATGTAATGATGCTTGTGCGTGTGTGCGCGCCTGCGAATCTTTTCCGCCTTTTTGAACTTCTCTGTTGTCTTCTAACCTGTTTCTTTATTCATGTATTTCAAAAGAGCAAATGAAAGGATGAAAAAGAGAAAGCAAAGGAAAAGAAAAATGATAAGGTCAAAGGATAAAATGAAGGTATCAAAATAGAAAATGGAACTGATCAAGAGATGTATCAAAACCATAGCCAAACAGAAAATATCTTTTCCCTTCCCAAATCTCTGTCTATCTGCCTGCTTTAGCGATTTCGTCGAATGATCCGATCTTAATTTTGATTGATGGTTTTTATTTTTATTTTTGTTTTCTTGTTTCTTTCGGAAATAAATTCCCCCCTCCTTACCTCCCCCCCCACTGGGTAAATCATCTCTAGCTTTTACGCAGGAACCTCCACCACCTTCCCTGCTTCCTCCTTCTCCTTCTCCGCCAAAGCCTCCTTCTCCGCAGCAGTAAGTTCTAACAGCGGCTTATTCTCACCCAGCTTGATATTCCGATGATAGGCGCGGATAATACTATCCGCATCATCAACAGCAATGGGCCTGATATCTGCTAGCTGCTTAATCTTCGCCGTGCACTCCTTGTACTGGGCGTCAGTCATTTCGATCTTCAGTTGCTGCGCGCGCGACTTGATGGCGTTCCAGCCCGTCAGGCGCGAGGCGAAGTGCACGTAGCGGGTCATGCCGAAGTCGGCTGGGTTGAGGATCTCGTACGTGCTCGGGTTGTTAAGGATGGCCTTGGCGTGGATGCCGGCCTTGTGCGTGAACGCGCAGAAGCCGGTGATGTAGTTGTTGAAGGGGATGTTGACCTGCACGGCCTCGGCGACGAGGTCTTCGAGGTCCTTGAGCTTCTCGAGCTTGTACTTGCTCTTGACGTAGTCGCGGTCCGCGGCGACCATGCGCGCCATGAGGCCGCCGAGCGGCGTGATGCCGTTGCGCTCGCCGATGCCGAGGACGGAGGTGTCGACGTGCGTCGCGCCGGCTTCGAGGGCACAATAGGCGTTGGCGATGGCACAGCCTGTGTCGTTGTGGAGATGGATTTCGATATCACACTTGACGACGCCGCGGAGGACGCGGACGAGCTCGTAAACTTGTCGTGGCGAAGCGCAGCCGACGGTATCTGCGATACCGACGCGGTTGACGCCGACTTGGTCGACGGCAGAGTAGATGGAGAGGAGGTCGACGAGGTCGGATCGGAATGAGTCTTCACTGGAGAATCTGATTTCAATGCCCTTGGACTTGACGAATTCGATGACTTCGATCGCCGTATTCTTAATGTAGGTCATGTCCTTTCCGTGTGAGTGTTCACGGAGATACGATGAAGTGCCAATAACGACGTCACTATTGACTTAGTATTAGACAGATGCTTTGCCCTTGGAAATGGAAATAAAAGGGTATG